CAAGTAACCCAGTTAGGGCAAATTGCTAGTTGCTTCCTCCTTTCTTTAGTCTTAGGACTTCTAGTTATAGTTGGGACAATAAAATGTATCCAGCTAAAAGACTATATATTTCCCTGCTCCACTAATATTATTTGTGTCCATTTGACTAATCCCTATTCAACGAAATTAGGTGGAAAGGTTTTGTATAATCTCTGGGAAAGCATCTTAAAAGCCAGCTGATATATTACCCTTTGCCCATGTTTTCCTTTCCTTCATTCTGTTACCTGGAATATGGATGTGGTGGCTGGAGCTCTACCAGCCATTTTGTACTATGAGGACAAGGGTCATATCCTAAGAAAGTCAGTGGTGACTCAAAAGAGCCTGGATCCCCAAAGACTTTGTGGAGTTGGCATACTAGCCCAAAGCATCCTGTCTCTGGACTTCTGTTATGTGTAAGAGAAATCAAGCACTTTTGTATTATTTAAGTCAAGGTTTTAAGTTTTTGTTTCATGCAGTCAGAGCTAATCCTAAATGACACTAACCATTTGCCCAATCTATCCACATTGTGAAATTGAATGACTAAGATTAAGTACTCTTCAGAAAGTCTTATCTAAGTTTCTTAAAAATATTATTTTGAAAAAATAAACAATTTATAATAAGATTAACAGTATATAAGGTCTTAGCTGATCAATTTTTATTTCATATGGCACCCTCATTGATCCAAGGGGTGTTTAATGCACCTTGGCAGATCTCATTAAATGAAGAGAATAGAATTCAGGTGTAATATGGCCTTTTTCATTTAAAACTGGTTTACAACACCTGCAGTCATTGGTATACAGGCAGAGAGACCCTCATCTTCAGGCTTCTATGGCAGAGTAGTGAATAATTCTCAGCTGATAATATATCACCAAAAGATCTAGGACATCCCCTCTGTCTCCTGAGCATCCTGCGGTAGTGAGCACTGAGTGGCTCCAAGATAAGCCATTCCTAGGGTTAAAACAAGAGAAATTGTTCTTGGCTGCATGTGGTGTTCATTATTGCTGCTCACCAAATGCTTCTCATTCTCTGCCTTCCAGTCACATGATAAAATATCTCCTGGATCTCTGTGGTTGAGTAGGGCGCTATGTTCTGGCCAATGAATTGTATCACTTCCAAGTTTAGCTTGTAATTGCTCGTATGAGACCCTTCAGAGTTGTTTTTCATTTGCCCTAGTATCAGGTAGTGGCTGCCCATCAGCAGTGTCCAGGAGGGAGGGTGATGACACCACCCATAGAATCCCCAGGCATCTCTTATTGGGCATGCAGTGTGAACAAAAAACATTTTTTTTTTTTTTTTAAATTTTTTTTTTGCCTCGATCCATTGAGATTTGGAGGTTTTTTGTTCCTGCATCATAATCTACATTATCCTAACTAGTACACCACACCATCCTTAACCTGCCTTCTGAGGGTGGGGGTAATCACAGAGGAACTGAATGACATAATCTATGGTTCCAACATTTAGAGAAGAGATGTAGGAAAAAATTCCCTCTGACTGGACCCATGCCTTAACCCTTTTAACATCAACAACTTTTGTTTCTAAAAAAATTTTTTGAGCACTTTCCTGTATCTATCTACAAAAATCTTGTTAGTAAACAAAGCAATCCTCCCATTGCTCAGTGAATTCAGGCCTTATCAATTCGTACACGATTAGCTCCACCATGTGGTGTGTAGGATAAATAACATTTATTATAGGAACATAAAAGCAAGGTCATGTGCCCAATAATACCACATCCCTCTTGGGAGGGGGACTGTACTTGATAAAAGAAAGCACATTTAGCTTGCTAGGGCATCAAATCAAAAGCAAGAAGAAAAATGTTCCTGTCATGTGAGTCAGGAAATTCAGTAATGAAGTTCACTCATTTATTCATTCAACTAATATTTCCTGAGCTGTACTATGTACCAGATATTGTTACAGGATCAAGACAGAAGAAGTTCCTGCCTTAGTTGGAAAGCCAGGTAACAGAACAAATCAACATAGTAATATATGTTACAATGTCAGATGTGATAAGTGCTATAAACCAAAATAAATCTGCGTCAGGACATAGAGAGTGATGGGGGTGGGGTGGGGAAGGATGTTTTAAATAAGGCTGACAGAAATAAAGGCAAACAGTCCACATTTAGCTTTCCCAATTGCTTTTGGATAAATGGTCCAAAATCTCAAATATTTATAAATATGAACATTCTTTTGCAGACATAAAGTGTCAAAACGCTTCAAGATGCCCAAATCTTGGTTTCTAAACATCATCCCTGTCAGTCCATACAGGCGGCTACAACAAAAATAATACAGACTGGGCAGCTTAAACAACAAACATTTATTTCTCACAGTTCTGGAGGCTGGTGAGAAGTCCAAGATCAAGGTGCCAGCACATTCAGTGTCTGGTGAGCGCCCACTTTCTTGTTAGCCATCTTCTCACTGTGTCGTCACAAGGCAGAAGCAGGGAGGAAGCGGGTTTGTTTGTTTTTTAATAGGGCACTAATCCCCTCATGAGGGTTCCACCCTCGTGAGTTTAACAATTGCCCTGAGAAAAAAATGATATCTCTTTGGAGAAACCAGAGTTTTCAGCTAAGGCAGAAAATGGACAAACGATCCCAGGACATATTGTTATGCCAGGAAGTGCAAAAACACTCAAAGACTAATGACAGGTCATGTCAGTCTTTAACCTGTCAAAGCAGACAGATTGTAGGGGCTCCCAGTGGCCAAACTGGGGGCTATTTAAGCATCAAGAATAAGAACTATTATTAATACTATATTGGATGATTAAAATCCATGCATTTGCAGTAATATTTTAAAATATCACTGTTCTATAGAATGCCAGTAGAAGGTATAGAATTAGAGAATCCTCATTTTGCCAACTCTTATGCAAGGATCATGTTGTATATTAATTTCCTGTTCTAATGTAACAAATTACAACAAACTTAGTGGCTTAAAACAACTGTACATGTCTGAAACTTACTTTCAAGTGGTTTAGATAAAAACTGTATGATATGATTTTATATATGTGGTTTTTATCCCAGTTTCTGGCACAGAATTCCTAAAACCCTTGATACTTCCTAAGTGAGAGCAATAAAGGTGTCTTGATATTCATAACAAACCCCTTTCAACCACACCTGAGTTTATGAGGTGATTTTTGAAAAGCACCTAAGATGATGGAACCTGGTTGCCAGAACTAACCATGTGATTAGAGGGTTGGAACTTTTAGTCTCATCTCCCTGACTTCTGGGGAGGAGAGTGGAGCTGGTGGTTAAATTGATAGCCAAGAGCCAATGATGAAATCAATCACCTATGTAATGGCTCCTCCATAAAACCCCAGGATGATTGGAGGGCTTCCAGGTTGGTGAACACTTGCAGATGTGGGGTGTGGGATGCTCAGAAGGCATGGACACTCCACACCCCTTCCCATATATCCTGCCCTTTGCAGTCACTCAAGCTGGCTGTTTCTGTTATATCCTTTTATATAAATGGATAACCTGTAAGTTGAATGTTTCTCTGAGTTCTATGAGCTGCTCTAGCAAATTAATGAAACCCAACGAGGGGGTCATTGCAACCTCTAATCTACAGCCAGTTGTCAGGCCAGGTGATAACCTGGACTTGTGCTTGGCATCTGGAGGGGGGACTCTTGTAGGAATAAACCATTAACCAGTGAATCTGATGTTTTCTCGATAGTGTCAGAATTGAATTGAATTGTAGGACACTCAGGTGGTGTCCCAGAATTGCTTGACATTTTGGGGAAACCCCTAACATACACACTTGAATCTAGTACCAGATTAGTCTGTGTGTGCATGCAGAGATTAAACAATATGGCAAAATGTTAACCTTTGTTGAATCTAAGGGGAGAGTATATAGTTGTGTATCATACCTGTGGCAGTTAATTTTATCTGTCAACTTCACTAGGTCACAGTACTCAGATATTCAAACATTATTTTAGATGTTCCTGTGAAGATAGTTTTCAGATGAGATTAACATTGGAGTCAGCAGACTTTGAGTAAAGCAGATTACCCTCCATCATGTGGGTGGGCCTCAATCAGTTGAAGGTCTTAATAGAAAAAGACTCATTACCCCAGAAGGAATTATGCTAGCATACTTGCCTGACTTTAACTGCAGCATCAGCTCTTTGCTGGGTCTCCAGCCTGCTGGCCTCTTCTGATTTTTGACATACCAGCCTCCACAATCTTGTGAGCCAATTCCTTAAAGCAATAACCAATTGCCCAATATGTATGGGTCAATTTCTGAATCTATTCTGCCCATTGGTCCATAATATTTCTTATAAAACAGGTCTACTGGCAACAAATTCATCTTTTCCCTGTCTTTTCTCACCTTTTATGAAGGATATTTTTGCTGAATATAGAGTTGTAGGTGAATAGGTTGTTTTCTTTTAGCATTTTAAAGGTATCATGCCAAGGTCTCCAACTTGCGGTTTGAGAAAACTGCATTCATTCTCTGTAGAAAATGTTTTTTGTTTCTCCAGCTGCTTTTACAATTTTCTCTGGTTTTCAACACTTTATGATGTACTCAGTGAGGTTTTCTTTGTGTTATTCTGCTTGTTGAATTTTATGGATGTAGGTTTATAGTTTTCATTAAGAAAATTTTGACATTATTTCTTAGTTTTTATTTCCCCTACCCCAACTTCTACAGCTCCAAACACAGGTATATTAAGAAACTTGATATTATCCACAGGTGGCTGACAATTTTTCCCCCCTTTGTGCTTTAGAAAGCTTCAAGTTCACTGTGCAGTGACCAATCTGCCATAGTTCCATTCATTCCTCCTTCTCATCTAGCTAGTGATCAGAGGTAATCAAATAGCAGCACTGATTTAAAAAAATAAACCTTATACATACTTGAATTATTGGTTTAAGTATATTGACCATAAATAAAATATCTAAGGGCTATTTAGAAATGTGTAGTTTTTTCAATACCTTCATTGTCTATAAAATTAGTTTGTGTATATATACACATACATGTAACATTAGAGATGACAGTGAATGTGACACCAACAATGGGCTGTTGTAGTTTATTTTTATCTCTTGTACAGAATGTGACAACAATCTACGGAAATGCTTTATTATATCATGCCAGCATCCTACAAGGAGTCTTTAAGAATAATACAAAAGTAATCCACAGACTTGACTAACTGAAAATCAATTGATCCAAAACTTTTCTTCCTTAGTTTTTCACAGCAATTGCTAAAAGTCCCAAATAAGCTGATTTTCCAAGAAAGATTATTCTAGTAACTTGGAGTGGTCAATCCGTGCAATGGTCCAGTCAGGCTTTACTCCTTGTGTAAACTCCCTCTGAAATCTAGGAGAAAAATTACAAATAATGTGAATCCTACATGTCCAAATATTTCTTAGATAACTAATCTGCAAGTGTACATTAGAGGCAGTTTTTAGTAATAAGCTAATGGTCAATGGTCAATAAAAATAAAAATTAAGAAAGTTTACCAGTTCAATCACAAAACATATCCCCACAAAATCAGAAGTACATTCACAACTAAAACGAGTATTTTTAATGGACTGATCTACGCTCCAACGTCTACCAATCCTGTGCGAAATGAGGGTATTATTCTGTCATTAAATACTAGCTATAACATATGCCTAATATGAGGAGAAATAAACTGGACTATGGTGATAAAAACAGCACTTTAGTGTTATCTGGTTTATATACATTAGATCTTGAAAATAACAGTGTTTATGAGGTGCCCATGGTCTTAGCAGGGAAGATCAGAAGAACCAAAGGTCAGTATTGATTACAGTGTCCTTTAATTATAAATGATATCTCAAAAGAGACAATTCAGTAGATTTAAATAAGTATTTAAATATATAATTTTATCTCCATTGACTTGCTTGACTTGTTCACTGCTCCAAATTTTATTAGCACAAAAATATACAATAATGTCTCTTTTAAATAATTTGCTAACTTCCTACTAGACAGTACTCCTTAAGGGCAAGTACCCTTTAATTTTGTATTTGAACCCCAGAGTAATTGGTAAATGGGAGATAGTTGATAAATGTTTAGTGAATGGATAGTCCATGTGCCAATCATGACAGATTTTATTTTCCAACAAGGGCCGTAAACCATATCTCCCACTCAACAGGCTCTTCTGCAATATGACCTTTATGTTGCCCCATAAAGGTGGAATCTCCAGGCCCTTTTACCTGTACAGGTCCTGTGACTGCTTTGACAAGTGGACTATGGTGGAAATGATGTTGTTCCAATCCTGGGCATGGCCCTTTACTGGTCTAGCATCTTCTGTCTTCTGCCTCTTGAAAGCCAATCATCACAAAACATGTGACTAACCTAAGACTACCACAAGCCCAAGCCACAAAGAAAGGCCTTGGAGAATGAGACATGTGGAGAAGCCAAGGGGCACCAAGGTGTCGCACATGTCAGTGAAGAAGTCACTGTGGAAATGAGTCCTCTAGCCTGTCACCCCAGTTGATGCCAGGTGAAGTAGAGAAAACCCCATACCTGAGCCTTTCCAAACTTCCTGAGCAGTAAAACAGGAGGCAAAATGGGCTGATAGAAGCAACTGGGTTTGGAGAGGTTTGTAATGCTGCCACAGACAGCTGAAACACTGATTACATTCAGAAATGTTACCTCCTCCTACATTTCTGAACACTACTGCTTTATGGCCAGTATGTCATTTTGACTTCTTCTCTTCATAAATAACTTGTCAAATTTCAATCGTTTCTTCCTAAAGCTCCCTTTAGTTTTCTAATCATAGTATGAAATGTGATTAGACTTACTCATAGCTTGCACTAAGAAGTTGTTTAGTTTCCACATTCTGATCCCCCAACTTAACCTGGAACACACCGGCTCCACTTAAAGTTTCACTGGGGATGTTGGCACTGGTTAGATACCAAAAGCACATCAGGATGTTAACAAACTTCCTTCCTTAGGGAAAAAACATACACATACACACACAAATAGGAATCACAATAATCTATCATCCATATATCCAAAATGAAATCGAAATTGGCAGTAGTTACACAAATGTTACAGATCAAATTTTGTGCTTCCTCTAGTCTAACAAGATACCTACATTGTTAACTTTTTATTTTCAGAAAATTCTCTTAGGGTAAATGACATATGCATTGCAACAATAGCAGCTAGTATTTACTGAGCATGCACTATTTACTAAGTGTACTACATAGATTCTTCTCAATTTGTGGCATTTTTCTAAAATTTTAATAGATATCTGTTGTGAAACCAAAAATGAGGGGAGAAAACATTTTTTTGCTGCTAAGTACTTAACCTCAACTGCCAGAAAGATGACAGACATCTATTCTACCCTAATCCACTTTGTTATGCCTAGTGATTATGACAATGTCTTGTGTAAAAATTAGGTAGTGACTATGGTGCTAAGATGCAATTTGAAATATTAGGGTAGAAAAAATATTTATTAAAAATATGTAAAAGAATCTTGACAAATGTTTCAAATTAACATGGAAAGATTTTAACTATTAAGAGTCCAAATCAGAATTGGTTTTGGAAGTGTGTAAACAAAGGCTAGATTTCCTACATGCCTGACACATAGTACATATGCAAATATTTGTAGCAGGAATAAATAAGTCAATAAAAATTCAGGAATGCTGAGGAAGAAGTTTGCAGTGGACAAGAAGATGAACCAGATAACCACTAAAGTTCCTTTCAATTTTTTTCATTGTCTCCAAATAAATCCAATTTGGGAGTTCTATAGTTAATCCTCCTTTCAAAACAGTCTTTAGCTGATATTATTTACTTTTACTTCTTTCTCCTTCTACTAAATGTACAGCCAGAAATTTAAAACACTCAATTGTTTCCTTCAAGTTAAGAAATCTGAAACACAATTATTTTTAATTTGAGATAATGGGAGCTACTTGTCCTAGAGACTATTTTCATCAACTTAAGTGACAATGCTGTCTCCTGTGAATTAAATACCAGTAGGGAAAAGTTCCAGATAGAAGGGCAGAAGAAAATTTTACCACATCTCAATTCTTCCAGAGCTAGGTCTTTAAAGAATGAATATACTGCCTGACCGGGCATGGATCAGCGATTGAGCGTTGACCTCGGATCCAGGAGATCGCAGTTTGATTCCTGGTCAGGGCACATGCCCTGGTTGTGGGCTTGATACTCAGTTTGGGGCGTGCAGGAGGTAGCCGATCAATGATGACCCTCTCATCATCATTGATGTCTCTCTCTCTCTCTCTCCCCCTCCCTCTCTCTCCCTTCCTCTCTCTGAAATCAATAAAGACATATTTAAAAAAAGAAAAGAATGAATATACTGTTTTCTCTGAAGTCCTATAAATATCCACTTGTACCAACCAATTCTCACTATTTCATGATTTTCCAGTAGTTTAGCTTATCTGGACAATTGTGGATCATTTAAAGTTGCCTACACTCCAGCATTACCTTTGTCATCGTAGTAAATGGAGATGTCTCCTGTTGAGGTGTACACAATTTCATCTATGTCAGCAGCGAGGGCATTTTTATGGCTGTCAGGTAGTGAAGTAACCTTTTCTTTCAACACGTGCAGCAGCTAAGTTTGGGGAAAGCAAACTGTAATTCACCTCTTGAGTTTTCGAAAGCTTTTCAAGAAGCTCAATAAATTATTCATGGAATGAATTTTTCTAATCCTATTTTTAAATTTATTACCATGTTTACTCAGCTTCAAAAGCAAGGCTAAAAGGCATCTGGTTATTCAACTAGGTAATTTATTACAGAACATTCTATATAAGAACAATTGAGAGACATATTTACTTACTTATGCCTTAGTAGCAAGTCATTCTCTGCTTTTATATGATTCTAAGTATCCGAAAGGAATGACACAGGGACTCTGGCTGATGGCACACATACTATTTTTAAGTATATATAAAGACAACGTACTGTATATCATGTGATTGCAAGGAAATAATACATTTATTTCTAAAGGAAAATTAAAATTATACTTTACCTCTTTGGCCACAAGTTCTTCCAACAGGTCAAATTTACACTGTGACAGCAATTTGGATACATGAGCAAAAGCCTTAAAAAAATAGTGGAGGGAGGGTGGTGATTATTTCAAAACCCCAGGCAAAATACCATACAGTAATGCACAACGCTCAAACTTAAACGGCTAAGTGTAACAAACTGTTTTATGATAAAGGCAATAAACAATGTCAAGCACCAAGATATCAATGTTAGGCACAGCTCCTTCTAGTTGACTGGCTCTTCTTTTCTCAGATGGCCTTTTCACATATATAGCAGATAGCAGGCAGGTTGTTAATTATGTATCCACTCTCAGGACCTGGGAAAAGACAGTGGCTGGTGTACACACTAGGGCTGAATAAAAATCCTCCTATATATTTCCTTTTAAAATAATGATAAAGTAATCAACCATTCCGAGTGTTATAAGACCTTCCCCCCCAACTCCTACCCTCTTAATCAAACATACATAGGAGCTGGGAAGCAGCACAATCTAGACTGTACTGAGTCTAAAGATCTGGGTTGTAGTTTGAAACATTAAGCTAGATAAGGCAGGTTGGGGAAAGTGGCAGAAAAGAAAATGAGTTTTACACAGTCTGTTACAGTAAGTTTCAACTTTGAAGTATGAAGTCCCATTTTAAAGTGGGGGGAACCAATTGCATTCCTCCACATTCCTAGCAGTGGGAAATGAAACTGTGCATAAGACTCATCCTGTCTTCAAGTAAGGAGGAAGGCAAGTAAACTGACAAGTTCAAGAATTATGACAAGGGTAAGAACAGGATGATGTGGGAGTAAATAGAAGACAATCTGGGAGGCCCAGAGGCGGCTTCCTAAAGGAAGTAACATCTAAGCTGAAATCTGGAGAACTGGCACGAGAAAGATGTACAGGCATGTAAGAGAGACAGCGTTACATAATTATTATGAGCTGCATTGTGTTCTCCCCAAATTCCTATGTTGAAGCACTAACTCCCAGTACTTCAGACGGCGATTATATTTGGAGATAGGGCCTTAAAGAGGTGGCAAAGTAAAAGAGGGTGGGCCCTAATCCAATCGGAATGGTGTTCTTATACGGGGGAACTTGGACACACAAGAGAACACCAGGGGCACATATGCACAGAAAACACACACACATCTGGAAACAGAAAGAAGGAAGCTATCTGTAAGCAAAGGAGAGAGGCCTAAGAAGAAACCAAACCTGCCAGCCTCCTGTTCTTTGACTTCTAGCATCCAGAACTGTGAGAAAATAAACTGTGGTTTAGGTAACCCAGACCATGGTATTTTGTTATGGTAGCTGTGACAAACTAGTACAATGAAGCTGAATTTTGAGAAAATGCACAAGTCCAACTGGATTCAAGGACCTCTTGGAAAACACCTTGGAGGCCCTCAGGGTTCAGAGACCCTGTACTGTTTTAGTAAGCCTTCGTGTGTGGAAGATGGGTGATATTTTGGTGAAAAGAAACAAAGACCATACCCATCATATTGAAACCCAACCATTAAGACTCTAGTTTGTGTGGCAAAGGAAGATTATACCTGAGCAAATTATCCTGTATGGTAATAATAAACCATTTGGAGGCTGTCCTAATGAGAAAGGCTTTGATGATACAGGAGTATCTAAGCTAAAGAGGCTTCTAGGAAATAGCCCTCTTTTTCAAAAAGCTAAAATGTGCAAGCAAAATATAGGAAAACAAACAGTATATGACTAATGTGGTTTGAGGGCAATAATAGGGAAGATATACCAATATGCACATATCAGTGGTGTGATACTGTGATATAAGAAATATATACAGCCTGGCCAGTGTGCCTCAGTGGTTGAGTATTGACCTAGGATCCAGGAGATTGTGGTTTGATTCGCTGTCAGGGCACATGCCCAGATTTTGGGCTCGATCCCCAGTCGGGGGCATGCAGGAGGCAGCAGATCAATGACTCTCATCATTGATGTTTCTATCTCTCTCTTCCTCTCCCTTTCTCTCTCTAAAATCAATAAAGACATATTTTTTTTTAAAAAAAGAAATATACACAGTAAAACCTAGATATAAGGGACTAATTTGGGCCAGGAGGTGTCTGTTAAAGTGAAAAGTCCATTATATAATAAAGTAGGTTTTCTGAATGCATATGTTAAAAAATTGACAAATTAGTTTGTTTACCTGTTTTTATTTACATCAACACATTTGTGTAATTAAAATAAGTATGTATGAAAAGTTTAATTTTACAGAAAAGTTTCCTGTATGTATTACTGTAATTTTAAATTTATACTGAATAGGTGTAGTAAATTCATGCATTCACCAGTGACTGAGAGTAAACAAATGTATACAACTGGGGTGTGGCTTAGTGCACATGGGAATGTTGGCAGGCAGGCGTAAAACTGCTGCAGAAAATCATGCCATGCAAAAACAGAATCAATTACTGTCTGTGATGCAGTGTGATCACGTGCTGATCATTCTCCAAACAATGTTTACAAGCAGTGACTTTTGGATTTAAATATGTAGACTACAATTGCAGATATGTAATATTTATTTATGCCGGTGAAATTACTAGTTTTTTCCAAAATATGGTCTATTTGCTAAAATTTTAAAAAATAACAGTGAATTAAAAACAAAAAAATAACCTGTTAATTTAATTGTTCATCACATGGAAGCTCGAAAAATCGAGGGTTTACTGTATTTGGTCTTCATCCTGGTTCCTGGCAGAGCTCCTAAAAGAAATCCTTTTCAACCATATCTGAGTTTAGGCTAATGAGGTGAATCTTGGAAGATGGGTGACTCTTGGAATATGGGGGTTGGTTGTCAGAGGAACCAACCTTGTGATTAGAGGTTTGGAACTTTAAGCCCCACCTTCAGACTTTCCAGGAGGATATGAGTGCTGGAGATTGAGTTAATCACCAATGGCCAATGCCTTCATCAATCACACCTACTTAATGGAAGCCCTATAAAAACCCTATAGGAAAAGATTAGGAGCTTCCAGGTTGGTGATCCTCAGAGATGTGGGAAATGTGGTGTACCTGGAGAGGGCATGGAAACTCCACACCCCTTCCCACATACTTTGCCACATGCAATGGTTCCATTAGTCTATTCCTTTAAATTGGAAATAGCAAGTGCTGTGCTTTCCTGAGTTCTGTGAGCCATCCTAGCAAATTATGGAGGGATGTGGGAATCCCAGTTTTATAATTAGTAGATCAAAAGTATGGGAGGCCAGGACTTGGGCTGGTGTTTGAAGAGGAGGCAGTCTTGTGGGTCGGAGCCCTTAACCTATGGAATCTGCATTAAATCTGGGGAGTTAGTGTCAGAACTATTGTAAGCTGGCCTGATAAGGAGTATCTAACCTAAAGAGTCTTCAAGGAAATAGCCCTCTTTTTCCTAGAAAAGGCTAAAATGTGCAAGCAAGACACAGGAAAAGGACATAGTATATGATTAATGGAGAGCAGGGTCTGTGGAGCTAATAAAGCCATTTATAGCATTGGGTCACCTATCCCCCTGGCTCAGGTGATGAATAAAAGCTTGCCCAGATGGTATTTAACCATCTCAGTTTTAGTGACTCTGGAGGACCAAGACTGCTTGTAGAGTGGGTCACAGGACAGTGCACCTCAGCAGTCACTAGCTCTGCATCCTTAAGCCAGTCATTTCATTTTTCTGGAACTTGTTCTTCTCATATGTAAAGGAGGAATAGACTAGAATGATAAGCTCTAATGTGCCTTTTCATTTTCATGTTCTGTGTTCTAGAATTAAAAAAAGAAAAATCATAATAAACATGACCTAATTGATAACTTGATATTCATAGCCCAAGGTAACATCTTATTGCTGGGAGGTTAGCCTAAGGAGAAAGGGCAAGTGGAGCCTATGAGTAGATACACAAGTTAATGTTTCTGCACCAGCTTATTCCCCAGCCCTGAATTACATTCATGTGAAGGAAGGTAGTTACATTATGAGATCTAGTAGGCAGAAGGTTTTTTAGCCATGTCTTTTTAAATCTTAGGTGATAAAGAACTGATTTGCTTGATCTGAAAGATATGCTAAGTAACCACTAATTTAAGGGAACTGCCAAACATTTGCCATGGATGACTCGACATCCTTTTTGGATACCAGAAGAGCTAAATACACAAAAACTGATTTAGAAGAGATAAAACTGCATACAGACTGGCTGATGGAGTGGAGATGCTACTTAATAGCAAAGGTGGGGGTGGCCGGTGGGGGTTGGATAAAATAGTTAACAGTTGGAGGACTCCTAAGATCAGAGAGTGAGTAATAAGTGTCCCATGCTCCTGTGTTCAAAGGAAATAGGGACTAAGGCCTGATTCCTGCCCATGGTAGGGAGATGACTTCCATTCTTTATTAACACATAAATGAGCTGTAGACAAGCTCACATGTCATCAGCAGGCACTGTAGAGAATAGCAGGATCACGCAACGTTACCTCTACAGGGACAAAAGATTTTGAGAACTGATATAAGAGGTTTACCCCTTTTAATGCTTTAATCAAGTTCTCTTTGCTTTTTAATTTTTAAAAACATATAAATTAGTCAAGAGTTGACTCAGGGAAAGAGTTAATATTAATACTGATTTAAACATTTAATTTATAACTAACAGGTCATATAAATGGCCATGTTTATAAAAATACTCTAAAATAAATTAGGAGTAAATATATCAGTACCAGTATTCAATCAACTGTAAAATGATTACACTGATGGCATAATTTTAAGGTACATGGAGGTATAAACTGGGACATAAACTATGATTTCTATTGTTTGTCAATAGTTCTGAAACGTTTGGGAATGACAAACTCTGTAAGAGATTCAAAAGAAAGTTATAGATGGACTTTCATCCTAGAAAAATGCATGTATACACAAAATCTGCAAATCTCAGGACCCAAAGTGACCAACATGTAGCAAGGGTAATGCGGAATATTATTAGCCACTCAGAAAGAGGGGCAGAAGTGTCAGGGTCAGGGCTGGGTGCTGTGCACTTATCAGTGACCAGGTTGTCTCAGCAAATTTGAAGGGGGACAGCTGCTCATCTCTAGATTATTCTTTTTTTAAATATATCTTTATTGATTTCAGAGAGAGGAAGGGAGCGGGAGAGAGAGAGATAGAAACATCAATGATGAGAGCCATTGATCCCCGGCATGTGCCCTGACCGAGAATCGAAACCCCTATCTCCTGGATCCTAGGTCAATGCTCAACCGCTGAGCCACGCCCGGCCGGGCTAGATTATTCTTTAGGAGTAGGATGGGAAGGGGTGGAAGTGAGGGTAAGAGGAATAAAGGGCAAAGGAGCTCTGGCAATAGGTGGCAGGAAGTTTTGTCTTTCTCCCAAAATGACACTATAGCACTTTAGAAATGTTATCTCATTTACTCTTCAATTTTATCCACTTATTTATTCAGCAACACTTATGGAGTACCTACTATGTGCCAGGCACTATCTTTTCATTTTGCAGAAAATCACGTTCAGAAAAGATAAAGCCACTTGACTTTTAAGTGGCAGAAATGGGCTTTGAATTCATTTCTATCTGACTTAAAACCCATAGAGAGTGGAAAAAGTAACTGGGGAACTTCACCCTGGTGTCTCAATGGAACCGAGGAGGACCTCGACGACCGTGCAGACGGAAGCAGAAGCTTACTTTAAAGTCAAGAAGGGGCCGGGGCTCTACGCCAGGTTCACTTCCCGCGGTTGATAATCTGGGACCCAGTGAGGGCACCTCTCTGCTAAACACTTTTACGTGTACTAGTTGAATGCAGGAGAAGCGTACAGGTCAACCCCGGGTAAATAAACAAACCTGCTTCGCGGCCTCTGAGAATTCTGCGATGCTGAACTCTTTGTCGAAATAGGCCCAGATAAGGAAGGCGTAAATTCGAGTCCGAATCCAGTTGATGGGGTTGGAGACGCCCAGAACGAGCATCTTGGTTTTCTGGCGCTGCTGTGGCTGCTCCTCGGTGCTGTAGCTTCGTCGAGGGCCGGCGGGGAAAGCGGGGAGGGCTGCGGAGAGTCCCGGAGGGCTGAGCAGGGGACGCCGGGCGCCCCAAGCAGGCAGCGCCGAGGCCGCCGAGGCCCAAGTGACTCGCGAAAACGGGACCGTTCTAGAGACGACGTGGCGGCGGCAGAAGCAGCAAAGTCCAGCCAACAGCGGCCTCATCTCGGCTGCGCGGGGGATCCCGGGTCTGGCGGCTCCGCCGGGCGGAGGCCCAGAGAAAAGCCAGCGGGGTAATAGACGAGCAGCCAGCGCCATCTTGTGACCTTTCACCCCTTGCTGGCCTGTGCAGTATCGAAAGAAAGTCGATGGGAAACCAACACCTCAGCTGGGTTCGGAGAGACTTAGAGTAAAGCGGGCTGCTGCCGCCACCTCTGGGAGGCGGCCCCGGCCCCGCTCTCCAGCACGCAATCCACAGAGGCCCGAAGCCAGCGAAGGAAACCCGCTGCTCTCGCGAGTTCAGCGGCCTCGCGGACCTTTTCTCTCCGGGTCGTGTTTCCGGGCGGATCGGCCGTTGAAGAACGTGTGGCAGGGTCTGGGTTCCCGGGACTCGGAAGACGAAGAGCTTGAGCGACCATGGGCGGGCAGGACCTCCCGGTACCCCGGCTGGAGGGTGTTTCGAAGGAGCAGTTCATGGAGCACCTCTACCCACAGGTGAGGCCCTCGGGCCGGGCAGAACCGCGGGAAGCCAGGGGATACCCGTCCCGACCACTCGGCCTGCTCCGAACTTGTTTCTTGCTACTCAGTGTGTGGGGAGAAGGCGGCGTCTTAAGATGGCTGGCTAGCTCTGCGACCAAGGGAGAGGCGCACGGGGATGTCAGCTGCCTCATCCGTTACATTTTCCGGAGAGAACAGCTCCACGCTCTGGGGAGCAGGGTGACGGGGGAGAGCTGAGTGCGAGGAACGTTTTGTCTAATGAAAGCACGGCTCGCTGGGAAGAGCGGCCTTGCAGGAGCCCTGTTAGGAAGCCGCCTGCCGTTACCTTGGCAACGAAGGGAGCGTTCTCTACCATCACCACCCCGCCCGCCTTCCTGTCTTCCTTTGGGTTTCTTAAATTTTAGAGGTTTTGAGGTCCCCTGTCGGCGCGAATGGCGCCTGTCAGTCCACTTGCTACTGGATTTAAAGGAGCAATTTTTCACTGTACTGAGCGAAAGGGAATAAGTGGGAATTCCCTCAGGAAACTTCCACTGGTCCTGGTTTCTAACTAATCTGGTTTCTGGTTCAAGCGCTGGGATCTCTTATATGTGTAATTCGAACCTCAGTTCTTTAAAAGGAAACTTAAACAAAAAAATATTAAGGGAAAAAATGTATTTTTACTTGCAGTGCTTTGTAAGGGAGTCTCCGAAAAACGGAGAATAGAGTCCAGAAGATATTTTAAAAAAAGAAAACCGTAAAGTTGTACTTAGTATGCTTATGGTAGAAAACACCCCCAGCAATTTTACTTGGTATTTACATCTATAAGGGTGGTCATAGAGCTACAGTTCTGAGTATTATGAAAGTCAGAGATGAAGGGTGGTGGTGGTGGTGATGGTGGTGTTGGTGTTGTTTTAGGATTTAGCAACCTGCAGATGATTCAAGCCCTCATTTATTTGGGGGACTAGTGCTGGATGGGTTGTTGCCTGCCCTTTCTCAGGATGTTAGTATAAGATGCCTTCAGGGCAGTATTGCGAAGATCAAATGTTGTACATGGAAGTGCTATGTACAATGCATAGCAAAACGTATTTTGCAATTTAATCTTCCCAGACAAGACATAAAATATGCCACAAAGCATCACTAAGTTTCATAAAGTGGAACATTACAAACAACACTCTGGTCACAATGTAATAAAGCTAGAAGTTAATAACAAAATTGCAAAACACCTTCCTGCTTGGAAACATTAAAGAAAAGCAGTGAGGGGGCATAATCTTACCATGAATAGACAGAGGAGAGGAATAGAATAGAAAGTCTGTTGAAANNATCTATCTATCTATCTATCTATCTATCTATCTATCTATCTATCTATCATCTATCTAGATGACCAGAAATACATTTCTATTTGCATGGAAATTTAGTATGTGATAAACTCTAGTTACCAGACTTATTTTTTATAGTAGTATGACTTAGCAGTTGTGAAAGTACTTATTGTAAATTCTAGGATTGTGCAGTTGATTAAACATTGAGGATGGTAGGAACCCAGTTTCTCACTGTTAGAGAAGGGAGCTACAAATATATAAACAATAAAGATTAGAATGAATCTTGTGATACAGGATCAGTATTGGAGGTATCATGATTCATACACACACATCCGTTAAGTGTGTTTCTATAGTATATATGGAGAGAGATAGATATAGGTATATGCATTTATGTTATATGTGTGTATATATATATTTGGGGGGAGAGGGGATTACACACATACCTTCACCTATTTCCTAGCTCTGTCCCCTGAGAAGTAATGTCAGCCCAATAGCAGTGGACACACCTAGCACCCAGATTATAGTTTCTAAATAGCATTCGCTATGAAAAGAAACCAGAGCTGCTTGAAGAAATGACTGTAGGGCTGAGACAGAGAAAGTATAAAAGTATGTTGGGTTGTGTTATTTTGCCATAAAATAAGGAAGCGCTCAGATAAAAAGTCACAAGAGCCAGCTTGAAGGGGCTCCTACTGGCCAAATCTGGGATAATTTGATATAATCAAAATTATATCAATAGACTAACCAAGTGAATAAAATAAGTGGGGAAGTTAGAGCTCATTTTGACATTAGAATGTCAACTAATACATGTAGATGATGATGGAATTTTTAAAAATCACGATTTTTACACTCACAAAAATACTTGACTCAGGCAGGAATTGCCAGTTGATGAAAATTAACATCACAAATAATTATACCATCTGATGTGTTGCACTGAGAAGGACACAACATTGCTTCTGTAGTACATTCTTTCCAAAAATGCATAACCTGAATCTAATGAAGAAACATCCAATGAACCCAAACTGAAGGGCATTCTACAAAATAACTGGTCTGTACTCTTCAAAAATGTCAAGGTCATGGAAGAAAAAGCTGAGGAACTGTTACAGATTAAAAGAGACATGGCAACTAAATGCAGTGTGGCATCTCAGAAGTAGGGGGGAAATAACTACAAAGGATATTATTAGGATGATTAGCAAAATTTGGATATGGACTGTGTACTAGATAATAGTGTATCAGTGTTAACTTATAATTTTGATATATGTAAGATAATGTCTTTGTTCTCAGGAAATATAGTCAAGTTTTTGGAGATAAAGGAACATGATATCAGCAACTTATCCTGAAATAGTTCAGAAAAAAAGAAGCTTCTCTATACACACATAGTGAGAATGAGAACAAATGGTAAAGGAAACAGTTGGTGAATCAGAGTAGAGGGTATGTGGGAGTTCTTTTGCAACTTTTCCATAAGTTTAAATGGTATCAAAATAAAAAGTTACGAACCATATTTGTAAAGTACAAATTTTAATAATTTAGTCATAAGTAACACTTCTGAAAATGCTTTGAATAATACTCATATTTTTCTAATTTCTTAGCTATTTATGGTGTCACTGTTTTGTTTGGTTTTATTTTCCTAATGTTAAAATTTTGCTCTAAATATATTGGATGGGTCCTCTTTCTATTTTAGTTACAGTGTGAACTGTCAAAAGGTTTGAGTTTGAGCATCTTGTTATCAAGAATCATTTTATTTTTGTCCTTCAATTGTCAAATGAAACTCCTGATATATTTATTGGTTTTCCTTTTTTTTTTTTTTGTATTTTTCCCCCACTTACAGAGAAAACCTCTAGTGTTGGAAGGAATTGATCTGGGGACATGTACAAGCAAATGGACAGTGGATTACCTAAGTCAAGTTGGAGGGAGGAAAGAAGTGAAGATTCATGTTGCTGCAGTTGCCCAGATGGACTTCATTAGTAAGAACTTTGTATATAGGTATTTTCTTCTGAGGTTTACTCTTGGGATACAAATAACTTGTTTTAAACCTTTAAAATATTTTTGCATTATTATACAAAGACCATATGGCACTTTTATCTTTTGGCTAGTTTGATATAATCATGGACTAGCTTACTAAATTTTAAAGAATGGCTTTTAAAAGACAAGAATTCTAAGTTTACATATTATACAAAGATATTTCCAAACACCATTTTTACATACTTGACACCTTCTAGAATCATGGAAAGAACGGAGAATTGTCATACTAGAGTTAGATTACATCTGGAGTTGGGTGTGCTGTCATTAACTAATTTATCCTACTACATTAGTAATTATTGTCTAGAGTAATGAGTTTTGAAGTTTTTCATTATAATCTATTTTGATTTTTAATGCCCTGTTTTTGGACAGTTTTCTAAATCCAGATTGTTTTTATTTATTTTTTATTTTTTTAAAATATACCTTTATTGATTTCAGAGAGAGGAAAGGAGAGGGAGAGAGAGATAGAAACATCAATGATGAGAGAGTTATTGATCAAGCCCGCAACTGGGCATGTGCCCTGACCGGGAATCGAACCCCGATTGCCTGGATCCTAGGTCGATGCTCAACCGCTGAGCCACGCCCGGCCGGGCCAGATTGTTTTTAGATAAGTATAAGCCCATGCTTTGTTTCCTACCCTCTCCAGAAATGTAGGGCAAGTAGTTGCTATGTTTGGTATAATCTTTCATCAACTCAGATAACTTAAAAAAAAAAGTTATACTTAATTTTCTCTTTTGACAAAATAACCTTGAATACTTTTAATTTTCTTCATGGTTGTCACTTTATGTTTTAGGATCTGCTAAAAGCAAATAAGAGATAGTTAAAAGCTGCTGGTTGTCTAAATTTGAAAACTTTAAATACTGTAATCTTAAAGTTTTAATATACTATTTATTCCTATGAATTTTGTTAAAAATGTTAAATTGAAAAAACAAATGACTTCACATTCTGAGCATGTGCAGTTCCCAACAAATTCAGTCTATTAAAACACCATGCAGTTCCCAGTAGCCTAATTTTTAAAGGGAGTTAGCTATCACTGTTCCTTCCAGAGCTTAGAGATGAGTTAAAAAGAGCTACTAATGTCCAGGGCCATTCCTTTCTCATTAGTTTTCCAAGCTCATGTAGCAGCTTGCCAAAGCATTTCTCTGTTTTTGATCCTTTCATATTCACCATTATAGTTTTGGTTTTTAATAGGCCATGAATTGAATGTAATTGCCATAAGTTTTTCCAAACCTAAGAACTTTTAATTTTTATTAAATCAAGAAAGTGGAAGAAAGTGCTGGAATGATAAGCGTTTTTCAGCCTGCAGTTAATGATGTTTATTTTCCGGAGAGTCCAATGCCATAGCAAATGGATATTGAAACGTCCTCTTGAATTGCCTTGATGTTTTGTCATGTCTTACAAACTTTTCAAAATAAGATTATTTTTGGCAGTTAATGGGGAGTAGGAAAGAAGGGAGACATTTACTCCACAGGCAGACTAGAAAGTAAGAAATCCTATACACATTTATCACTTCAGTTTAGTAATAATTATATAGATGAGCAAATGGAGGCTTAAAAATGTTAAGTAACCTAATATCATATAGCTTGAAATGATGGAACCAGGACTTATACCCAAATCTGCCTGACTCCACAGAGCCCATGATCCTAGCCCGTCTTTGATATTACCTCCCTTACTAGTCTGTATGTCAGTCCAGACAAATGTAACTTCAATAACAAGTGCTCTCTTTTTTTTTGAAACATGAATGGGGTAGATAAGATCTCAAGGCCAAGGAACTTGCCAATTCATATACTTCGTTTCCCCCTTTCTCGGCTTTGTTTTCTGCAGAACCTCTGACAGGTACCACTACCTAAAGGAGAAAGGTGCTGGGAACACTCCTGTTCTACTTCTCTGGACTGAACCAGTCTATCTGCCCTGCTCTTGTAAAGGTCTTGAAACACTTTTGGTGTCTCCTTTGTGAAAAAGCTAAGCCTGGGCAACTGCACCAGTTACAGAGGCAGCTCTGCCAGAGAAGCTTCCACATTATTCCCAAACTCTTCAAAGATGTTTTGGTAGGAATAAAGGGTATATGGTGAGATCAGAGATGGAAAACATTGGATAGGACGATGCCAAGTGAATTTGTTGATAACAATTAGCCAGAAACTATAGTAGGAGATTGGTCTGAGTAGATGGCAGACTCCTTTTGTCTCTCCTTCAGTGCTCACTCTACATTACCAGCAGTGTCCTTGAGTTCAGGTTGACATTCATGCTCACAGGACCCATGGGTCCATAATCTGGCATCAGATTCACTTGGCTTTGCAGAAAACAGCATCCTAGCAGGATAGTATCAGTAGGTGATCCATATACCAATCTGGGAGTCACTTTTTGGCTCACCAACTATTACAGCTTAGTTGTAAGAGAACAAGACTAGAGATGAGTGCAGAAACACCCTAGCTTAGACACTGGTATTATAGAACAACCCATGAACTTATGTAGGTTTCTCCAAGAAGCATCTCAGTTGCAAGAGTTACACTGCACACAAGGAAGCCAAATCCGCTGCTTCCTAACAAGTATTTATAATCCACCACCAGCTTTCTAGTCGGATACAGCTCACCAACATAGGGTCATTTTTACAATAAACAATTTACCTGATATCGCAGTTGACATTCCACATTTATCTTAACCCAGTGTGTTTCTGGGAAAACATTGCTAGGAGAAAGTAAACCCAAGGTCATTTTCTTATAGAGAAGGAGAAAGGGTTTTGCTAATAATCCTTTCTCCCCATCCCCCCAGTACAGATTTCAAGTGGAAAGAGTGAAAGGATTATCACTTTTAATCAGAGGTTTGGAGGCTGGAGTGCTGTGCTAGAGTAGGGGAGTGGCTTTTGACCTGGATGCTTTTGAGGACTTTATTGTCTTGATGTTACTGATCAGGGATCATCTTTCTATGGGGGGCATTATTTTTGATTCTAGAATGTTGAAGGGATAAGGTGGGACCTCGAGAAAAAATAACCCTCAAGGCTCAAGAATATGAGTAAAGGAAACACACTTTCCTTCTACAATGTTCAGACCTTTTCAGTAGGGTGGAAGGAGGCAGGCATTTGGGTAGCAATATTAAAGGAGAATAAAACCCTGTCGCTTCACTTGGAACTCTCCCTGAGATGTTCCTCAGAGGCCCTAAAATGACAGAGGGTAGTTCAGGAGGGTGAGGGCAGTTGTTACAGGCTTCTGGGTTCTGTGCTGGTGCCACAACGCAGGAAGATCAGTGAGAGGGAGAGACTTCACCTTCATTGACCCTTTTCTATTGCCTCTTCCAAAGGAACTTTAGTAGTTGCCCCATCATCACAGGACATGTTTTGCCATGATCCTTGAAAAGAGATAGTAATAAGAGCTTGAAAGTGTGGTAACCAGACACCATAGGAACATTTTTGTAACAGTAACTTGGAATAGGAGGATATTGATATATGAGAAGGATCCGTCTGTACCATAGATTTAAAAATTAATTGTTGAAATAGAAATTTCAGACAGCCTAGGTCATAGAAGCACACCATTAAATGAATTTTGAAAATTTATAATTCCATATAAGTTATAATAAAAATTATGGATATTGTAAAACAGGTCATATCCAACTTCAACAAAACCCCCGTGTATATAGTGATTAGAGTATTATTAATTGATTTATTAACTCCAAAGATTCTTTTGTGTTTATTTCAGAACTTTACCTTTTGACAAGTTGGTTCAGAGGGCAGCTGAAGAAAAGCATAAAGAATTCTTTATTTCAGAGGTAATTAGTTTTAACATTTTCTTTAGAAAGCATTAATATATATACTAAATGGATTTTCTTATAAGAGAATATTATATGTACAAGAGCTGTATCCTCTGATATCACTGTTTTGTTTTGTTTTTTAATATATTGATTTCAGAGAGAGGATGGGAGAGAGAGAGACATCAATGATGAGAGAATCATTGATCAGCTGTCTCCTGCACACCCCCGACTGGGAATCGAACCTTGATCTCCTGGATCCTAGGTGACTGCTCAACCACTGAGCCATGCCTGGCTGGGCTGATAGTCACTGTTAAGGTTTGGTTGTAATTGTCATCGATACTAGTTTTACTGTTTATTAGGTCTCAAACCTTGGCCAAATTATTTTTCTGTGCCTAATTGTACTCATCTATAAAATATAATAACAGTACCTATTTCATAGGGTTTTTTGACGATTAACTAACTGTAATCCATAGAGTGATTATTAGCACAGTTCCTGACTAGAAACTACTCAGTAAATGTTAGCTATTAGTATTACTTCCTTTGAAAATGCTTTGGTTTGATATACCAAGTTTCAATGCTAATGCTAATGGAGAACTATGTCTTTATTTTATTATTGTTAGTTATTATCAGTGTGTTTTTTTTGGTATTTGCTATAACATTTATTTAGAAAAATTCTACTGATTTACGTTATAATCCACCCTTAAATAATTCAATTTAAATATCTTGGAACTCCTGAGCAAAGACTGCCTGTTGTTAGGGGAGTCCTGTGTTGGGCAGCAATATCTAGGCCTTGGTTTAAAAACTGAGGTGGACCTGAAGGAGTTAACAGCTGGTAGCTGTAAGTTAATCACACTCCTTGCAGCTAAGCAGTGGGTGCTTTCTTGAAGAGAGGGTCCGAAAAGTGAATTTCTGTCTGTGTTTGCCACATGAATTTGTTTTTTAAATCCTGAAATATTAGAACTGGTAGAAAACTCTTAGAATTTTGAAGAACATATTTTGAAACCTATTTATCCAGTAATAAATTTATAGAATTTACCTGATATGGTATTCTCTAAAAACATAAAAACAATGAAACTGAAAGTATCAGATTACTATTATAAAATGACATTTCTAATTCACATACATGAGCTTACTCTTAAGAATTTGGCTTGAGAATTATATAATCAGGGATAGGCTTAGCTTGATAAAATATAATGATTCCTATTTTAAAAAATTATTATTAAAAGTATTTTTTATTTTTCCCCTATTGTACATTTGCATTATATTAAAGGAGTTTTTTGTTGGCACTCAAAAGTACCTTGAGATCATGTGTTGTAAAAGTGGAAATTCTTTTAAGTCTTAAGATGTTAAAGAGTCTAAATAATTCGGAGTATAAAGTCTAAATTGAGTGTCATGACTTTAGATGTGGTATGTGTATATTGCTTTTAGAATTTATCTTACTTATGTTTTGTGGATCCAGTCCTTATTACAAGCAGCATATAAAGACATTTCTTTATACTGCCACCAGAGAGCATTAGTCGAAAGGGTAAGAAAACGGAACTTTTCGGAACAGCTGGGTTAGATTTTAAGACTTGTTGAATCCTTTCATCTTTACTTTCTAATATTTTTAAGTGAATATTGATGTTATTTCTCTTTGGGATGTTTAAGGATGAAAAGTACTACTTACGGTCACTTGGGGAAGACCCAAGAAAGGTAAGAATTCTGAACGTGAAACAGTTGCTTCAGGTTTAAATGATGTTTGTATTTAACTGGCACTTTAATTTTTTTACTTACTCTGCCTGTCATATGACCTGTTTGATCCCTTTTCATTATTTTCTCAGTGATTCGTGCCCTTGAATAAGTACAATTATTAAAAGTTGATAACTTAGTTTTTAAAGTAGGGCCATAGAATCTTAGTGTTTAAAGGGATCTACTGGTAATCTCTCCACAATTAAAAAATTCTTTCTATTGTATATTTTACAGGTTGCAATTCACCTAATAAAATATAATCTTAAATAATTATGAGAATTTTAAATAATTCATTTTATAAGCTTTGATATGCATTCAGACTCTAATTAATGTGGCTGCAGTGTTAAGGAGTGATCCCTAAAATGATTAAGTAAGATAATATTTTTTCCCTTCATATTCCCATTTAATTCTTTACTTTTTATTCTCCTTCCTCAGTAGAACCACAGGTTTTACATAGTTGATAACATTCAAGTTGTCGATTCCAAATCTAAAATACTTAATATTAGGTGACAATTGTATGAATCTTGCTTAAAGTAGGAAAAACCCTTCTATAAATGAAGCATATTAAGCTTAACAGTAGCGATATTGTTGAATTTGCAGTCGTGTTATATAGTCTGTATTTATTTGTTGCCTGTGGTCACATCCTAGTATTTTAAAGCAGTGAGTAGTTTTACTCCATTCCTCCTTTATGTCATGGGCTCTGATGGCAGCCTTAAACAAAATAAGCAGTATGCCAGTGTTTTTTATTAAAATTCTTATTGTGTTTCCTTCAATGCAGGATGTTGCAGATATCAGAAAGCAGTTTCCTTTATTGGAAGGCGATATTAAGTTTCCAAAATTCTTCAAAGAGGAGCAGTTCTTTTCCAGTGTTTTTCGAATTAGCTCACCGGGATTACAACTTTGGACCCACTATGATGTATGCTATACAGATTAGAAATCTAAAGCTACTGTAGATCTTTAGCATTGATAGACTTAACAGTCACAGTTTCAGCTCTCTGTAGGCTACCCTAAGATCTTTGACATGTAATTGGCTGAAACATGAGGTTTGAAAACAGATGCTCTGCAAGGAGGTGATATGGGAGTGAATTATTAGCTAGTGCCAAAGCCTAGTTTATCACATTTGCATTTCTCTGTGGTCTTGTTCTTGATTCATCATCATCATCATATATATTAGGCTTTACTAAATGTGTGTGTGTGGGGGGGGGAGGTTAACATGTGAGAAATGGCCACCAACTGAAGGGGAAAATTGTGAAAGTGGAAAAAGTGATTGATTGTGATATGAGGATGTTGAAATAATATGCATGACTAGATTGAACTGTTATTCAGGAGAAAGGCAGAAGCTCATGAAGAGCCATTTCCAGTTACAAGAATTTGGGGCTGTCTGAAGGTCTTAGGATATATATCCCCCCGAGAGTGTCAGATGTCTACTTTATTTGTTGAGTAGCAAGATATGTAGATTATTGATCTTGATTATTTATTCTATGGTGTTATAATTTTATTTGCTTAAATATATGCATATTAATGTTTTACAAACTTTAAAAATCTGGTATGTATGGTTTGGTGTTGGGTGGGGAAATTTAGGAAACTAAAGTAATACCTACCTAAAAATTTTTTTAAAAATCCAATTAATTTTTATAAGTATGTTTTATAATTCAGTGGAGGACCTCTTGGGAGGGTTTTAACATAGCAACTCTATAATTGAGTGAGATAAAATCCTAGCATATTGTTTTTTTAAAAGTTTTTCATAAATGATATGGTAAGAAAATGATGTGATAACTCATACATTTTTAACTGAATTCTATGACTATATTTTTAAATAGTATCCCTTTTATATTGAGTTCTAATGGAATATTATAAAGCTTTTCTTAAATTAAAAATCAAAGGAATGCTAGTTACATAGTTATATAGTTAAGGCTTATATAAGTAAAGGGTTAGTGGTAAAAGGAGAAATGCTTAGGTAGGAATGATGTGTAAATAATCATGAAATATCTTACTTAGTGTTTATTTTAATTACTTAGTTGAGAATTATCTAGCTCTGCCTTTTAACATTTTTCACCATCTCTGCCAACAAAGTGCACCCTTGCATACACAGGAAGAGTCAAGGCTGCTCCATTAATAAGTATGTCAGGAAAATTTGCAAGGTTATATCCTATAGAAATAATTTAGAAATTAAAATGCCTGTAACCAAATTATGGTTGGACATATATTAAGTTATTAAAAAGAGCAGTGTTGCCACAGTACCTTGTATTTTCCCGGCGCCTAATATTTCTAAGTGCTGTTAATCTGTTGTTGAATATTGGCCTTACAGCATCCCTTGACGGATAAGTAATATGTACTAACAAGGGGGAGCCTCAAATAGGTCTAACTACCCTCACTGTCATAATGGTGGGGTGAGGGCAAATTGTTTCAACTTCAGATTTCCTAATGGCTTTCCAACCCTTTCCATTTTAAGGTCGTGCTACAGAAATACCTTTAATAAAGGGACAGTTGTGTTTAGAATACAGATGTTTTCATTGTTACATTAGAACATTACTGTGAGATTTTTAGATATAGTGAGTCAAGTCTTATTAAAGGGTGGGATTTACAGTTCACTATTTGGAATACCATTGGCTTTATTTATATGAATTTTAAATACTGTTTATTCATAAGTTCTTATTGGTCTTCAGGTAATGGATAACTTCTTAATACAAGTGACAGGAAAAAAGCGTGTTGTACTGTTCAGTCCTCGAGATGCCCAGTATTTATATTTATCAGGTACTTTTTTAAAAGTTTTTGTTCTTAAAATCTGGTTTATTCATCACTCTTTTTGAGAAATCTCTTTATTCCCATAGAAAAACATTTTATGGCTTCTTCCTAATTAAAATGTATCGTGTTCTCCATTGTGTATGTGTTTACATGTAACGATGGGCTAGATGAAGAATGAGATTTATAGATTTTCTTAACCGTATTACATGGATGGCAGTGGTCATACTTAAAGGATGGGTCATTGAAAAATGTATTAGGTTTCAGGAGAATAGTAATTGTTTTCACAGTGTGGGTACAGTAAGTAATTATACAGAAAAGATTAAATTTGTATTTGTACTTTTTAAAAAATGTTAACTTTGCTCAATATATATTATCCTTTTTTTGAAACATTTCAGGTACTAAATCGGAAGTACTGAATATAGATAACCCAGACTTAGCTAAATATCCACTGTTTCCCAAGGCTAGAAGGTATGAATGTTCCCTTAAAGCTGGAGATGTGTTATTCATTCCCGGTAAGAATTCTGGACCTCTGTAATTTGCTATTTATGAAATCTGTACTCTATCACTTAATCATTATATGGTTTTTTAGTACAAAAGTATATTTGTTATATGTATCCTGGTCTATACAAGATGATTTTTGTACACAACTATGTGTGTGTTTAAAGTATGCTTAGATAAATTCTTATAAAATTAAATCTTGTTTTTTGAAGGCAACCTGTAAATATATTATTACACTCTTATTTTATTAAGTGACGTCAAGCAAGATGCTTGATGTCTGGAAAAGATTCTACTTGGTTATTCTTTTTAATCATTTTACTTGTAAAATATTTACATATTTTAGAACTATGTCAGTTAAGTATTTACCAAGAAATGGTAAATATATTTCAAAGCCAAAACAGATTAGAGATTTTATTAAATGTCAAAATGTTATAATCGTTAACACCTGTGATATCTTTTATATGCATTATTTTTCTATAGTCTGAGTTAGTGTTAATTTCTTTGTAAATAGGCATTAGCTGTTACTAACCAGTGATGTAATTAACATCTGTAATTATTCTGAAGTAAATACCTGAAAATTATAAAACTGAGGAGGCTACAGTGAATGCAAATTTAAGCAAGGTAGAAAAGCAAATGTAGCTTGAACAGGAAGTCTCTGAGAACAAAAGTATTGTACTAAGTCAGAAAAGGTCAGATACACTCTTCAAATAATTGAAATGTTCTGTGTACAAAAAAATAACTACTTTTGATGTGGTTGTGTGACTCAGGAAATGTAAACAAGTAACACAAAACACGGCCCAAATCATAGAACTATAAAACAAATATAACTTTATGTCTTTCAAGTTAAAAAGGAAAAAATTGCTATTTGCAAAGGTTTTAAGTGTGGGGTGGTGCTATTGACACTTTAAATTGGTTGGCAATTCATAAAAGTTAAAGTGATGCTGTTAAAAGTTGGGAGGGTGCTAACGAAGGGATCTAGTTACAAGAATTATTTCCTACATTGGTTATATGCAATTCGTGATATTTCACTGACATTTTGGGTGGTTTTTTTAACTGTAGGTTTTATTTTTAACTTTTCAAAAATTTTCCCCAGCTTTATGGTTCCATAATGTAATTTCTGAAGAATTTGGAGTGGGAGTGAATGTCTTTTGGAAACACCTTCCGTCGGAGTGCTATGATAAAACAGATACCTACGGAAACAAAGATCCTACAGCAGCATCAAGAGCTGCACAAATTTTGGACAGAGCCTTGAAAACACTGGCTGAATTACCAGAGGAATACAGGGACTTCTATGCACGGCGAATGGTCTTACACATTCAGGACAAAGCCTATAGCAAAAACTTTGAGTAAATAATGAAGTGAATACAATGAATATAAACTTTTAAATATAGTTCAGTTCAAATATTAGAAAAATATAACAAAATATAAATTATTTTTTGGATTCTTTGTTAAAAGAGGAAATATAAATCAATTTCAAATTTACAGATTAAATACAAAGTGGGTGTTTGTGTGGTTTTTACTTAATACAGATTGTTACCTTTTATTTTTATTTTTATTTTTTAAATATATGTTTATTGATTTTAGAGAGAGGAAAGGAGAGGGAGAGAGAGAGAGAGAAACATCAATGATGAGACAGTCATTGATCAAGCCTGCAACCAGGCATATGCCCGGACCGGAATCGAACCCCAATCGCCTGGATCCTAGGTTGACGCTCAACCGCTGAGCCATGCCCGGCCGGGCCAGATTGTTACCTTTTAAAGAATGCTGTACTGGGATCCCTCTAGCTTTCAGATGCAAATAACTAAAAATTTAACTTAAAATGACAAAATGTATTAAATCATTATACATGAAGTCTACTGATAAATTGGGCTTTGGTATTTTTGATCCAGTGATTCAGCAGTGTTTTAACCCTAACCCTAAACATAGCCCTAACCCTTACCCTACCCCTACCCCTAAATCTAACCCTAACCCTAACCCTAGCCCTACCCTAACCGTAACCATAGCCCAAACCCCTAACCCTAACCCTAGCCCTAATCCTAACTCTAGCCCTAACCGTAACCCTAAATGTAGCCCTAAGGGCAACCCTAACACTATCCCCAACCTAAGCCCTAACCCTAGCTTTAACCCTAACCCTAGCTGTAATCCTAACCCTAATCCACCCTTAACCCTAACCCTAGCCCTAAAATTAACCGTAACCTTAGCCCTAACCCTTACTCTAACCCTAACCTTAGCCCTAAACCTAATGCTAATTCTAACCCTAACCCCAACCCTTGATCCAGCCTTAACCTTAGCTCTAACCCTAATCCGAACACTAACCCTAGCCCTAGCCCTAACCCTATGTCTAGCCCTAACCCTAACCTCTAGGGTGTTTTCAGCTGTTTTCAGCTGCAGGATTGGCATCATCCTAAGGCTGGCTACTTTCACGGAATGATTGCCAATAGCAGTTCAGGCCCCGTGGAACTTCATTTACATGCAGTGGAGGAGTCAGGCTGGATTCCAAGGGCCTTCTCAATATAAGAAAGCTTTCAAAATTTGCCACCAAATCCTTGGGTTTCATTGATCTAAAGTGGCTTAGACCTGTCCATCCCTGAGCTAGTCACTGGCAAAGGGTACAAAGTGACCCTTAAGCCTGTGTGGACCTCCTGGAGCTGGAAGTAGAATTCTCTCCTTTGAGGCACATATGGGCAGAATGGATAATTGTTTAAATCAGGATTCTGGTAAGTGGGAAAAAGAGCAACCAACAATGTCTACATTAATTTTTTGAGCTTTTAAAAACAGATGCTTAGGTCTCAACTTTATGGACTTGGAATCAGTGTTTGGGTGTTGGTATGGATATCTGTATTGGATAGACCTTATAGTTTGTTTTGATGCATAATCAGGACTGAGAACAATTGGATTAGATACAATTTGGATTAATAGTTTTCTGATTCACCCAAATGTTTAATCTGATCCTGGTTTTTCTTAGTGCCCAGAGTAAGTCAGGCCTGCCCTTTTTCAGTTTTTAAGTGTCAGAAAATATTAAAATCAGTTCTGGTTTATACCTAAGGCTAAACTTTCACCTAATTTTCACCTAATCAGTTTTAGTTTATACCTAAGGCTAAACTTTTCACCCCACTAACTGCTTTTCCACCTATCCCTTAAAAAAGAATTTTTAAGAACAAAACAAGAGATCCCAATGTCATCATCGGAGACAATGAGCCATTGTATGTAGGTCTGTGCTATTCTTTGTTTTGGACCTAGTAATTATTTGCACTGGCATTGAAGATGAAATATATTTACTGAACACAGATGTGCCTATCTAAAGAAATCTGAGTGTATAAATTTGGTGCATTTTAATTACAGAGAAATAATACCCTCTTGAAAATAATTCATCTACTCATATCCTGTGTTTAGAGTTAAATTTCAGGTATAAAAAGCAAATTATAGTAAGTAGGAAAGATATAAAAATTTATTTTGTACTTTCTAGGCATCTTTGAAATACTGAAGTTACTTAGGTCAACAAAAATGAAGTGTCAGAAAAGGAATTGTATTAGCCAGACCTAATTGTTAGATTTTTATTATTTGGTTACTTAGGATAAGCACTCCTTAAAAGATTCTTTTTCCTTTGGGAAGGGAAAAACAACAAAAAACCCTAGAATTTTATTGCTGAAAGAGATTTCAGAAATCATCTAATCAGTCCAGATTGCTTAAGTTGTCCAGGCTCACAGCTAGGATATAGAAACTGGAATTACAGTTGTGACCAGATTAGTAATTCTCCATTCTTCCTCCTTTAAGTGCAGCTCATCTCCAATACTTCTGAGTACATTATATAGTTATTCTTTGGCTATATTTTCAGGGCCTGACCTGACCCACAAAGGAATAGTTCTCCTGTGCCAGCAAAACTTCTCATTGTGCTGCTTGCTGCATAGACAAGGGATACAAAGTAAGACTAATGATGATGAACAGGTAGACAACAGAGTGTAATGTAAAAATGGAATACTATGCAGAGGAGGAGGCAGATACACACGCATACATACATACTGGCAAGGAGTTTTTCCAAGGTAATTAAACAGGTTTGAAATTATTGGTATGGTAATGCAGCCATTTATGTAAAACAAAGATATAAGTAAACATATGGGGGTGGGCAAAAGTAGTTTTACAGTTATAATACATGTAAGAATAAACTTTTATATACAACAGTAAACCTACCCCTGTATATTTGTACACAGAATTATCACTGCAAGGATACACAAGGAACCAGTGATAGTGACTACCTCTGAGGTTAGACAAGTAGGTGGGCAGACTGGAATCTGCAGTTGTCTATTATTTAAATTTTTTTGCCCCTTAGCTATTAGAAATATTTAAAAATTACCTGAGATTATAATTCACTTTTCATGAACAGTATTTGTCTTGGTACATAATCACAATGGAATTCTATTCAATAATTAGAACATGGGAAACAAAATCCACCAGGCTTATTTTGTATCTTTTTGTTCTTTTAAATAGCAGCTAGGTGAACATTTATAAACTTTAGTAACAAGGCTTTTCTCTCACCTAAAGTTGATAGCAGGTATCTAAGCTGTTTCAGAAGCTGACCAAAAAAAAAAAAAAAAAAAATGAAGGAAGCCAGAATGCAGGTGTGGATGGAGTTGCAACTATACTGAGGTGACTCCTCAGTGCTGAAAAACAGATGTAGCCAGGAGGAACTAACATACATTGGCAGTCACCCACATATCTGGTGTTACTTTGAAGTCTTACTTCAAGCACACAGACCATGAAGTGTTTGGATGTCTTAAATACACCTAAATTGTATTCTATTTTTAAAAATTCCATTAAATGAGATATTAAAATGACCATCTAAATTATTATGCCTGTGTCTGCCAAAGCTACTAGGCCTCTGCCTTTGTGAAAAGCAATCTGAATTTACAGATGAGGTCTATCTACATGTATATCTTACCCTGTAAAACATTTTTCTTTCAAAGGCCCTTAAAATGTATGTAACACAACAGTGATTATAAGAATACTACCTTTTGTTTCATTATTTTATCTCTTAGACCTTACACATTCCTGTACTCATGCTGGGACTGTTTTGTCTGTACTATGTATCCTTAGTGCTTAGACTTTCCTTGACCTTGGTGGGTGCTTAGATATTATATGAATGGAATGGGGGGGGGGAATCACACTATATTCTAACCAAGTCTCTTAAGGAGAACTAAAGGAATACGGATAGCTGAGATAATTAGCGCAGAAAAGGAAGAACTTATTTTTGAGATATTTTGTTCTCTGAGCAATCCCAACAAAAAAGATGGAAATTATGCAAATTTTTGTGGAGCAATATAAAGCAGAGAAGAGATACTTTTATAGGAAAGGTTCAAAGTCAGTCATTTGAAAAGAACATGGGGATTAATGAAAACACAAATCCAAACTGGCAAAGTGGAGAGAATCAGCTTCCTTCCAAATAATGATATGAAGTTTTAACAACTCTGGTAACATAAAACACATCAAAACAGACTTCTGTGGATTAAATTTAATACAATTGTACATTCATGCTGTGGCAGTAACTTTCACATTACTTGTATGACTTTTCTCAGTTGACTCATGACACAAACATAAAGGCACAATCCAAAAGAACATACTAACATTTACAATAGTTTTAAACAAATGTGGAGAAAGAACAAATTTGAAGTAGTCAAGTATTTGAATATGGATCAACTTGAATATCTTAATTCAAGAAACACTCTACTTTTCAACTGTCATTTTGATGGTATGGTAGTTCCAGGTGTCCAGTGACTTATTTTTAATATTCATTGAACATATAACAATAAGCATTCACATGACTGAATAGCTAAAGAACCCAGATTTTTAAATACCTTGTTTTTTTTGGTAATGAATTCTGAAAGTCCCCTTTCCATTGTAGTTAATCGTATAAAAATAAATGCCTTTCCTTCCGCCCTCATTAGAACATTCAGTAACTTAGCTATTTTACATCAGATACACATGAAGTTAACCAAGGATTATGAAACATTAAGTCAATCAATTATGGTAATAAAATGCTGGAATCAGGCTGACTTGTTTCCTTGTTACAAACTTGGGTCTCAAACAACAGGTATTTAAAGAAACTGAAGCAATATAAAACTACTTTGTCCTTAAAAATAACATACTATTCTGTAATTTATAGAATTAAAGGATGTTATTTTTATGCGTGTGGTAAGAATCCTTTCTCATAAGTCCCTGAATATTTGGAATGTGTTTATAGTATTAAAATATAATTCTAGGGAGAAAACACGAATTAACATTTTCACTCCATACTGTTTTATAAATTTAGGTCCTCTGGGTTATTAAGATATTAAGCTTCAGTCTTTTTTTTTTTTTAGTCTGAAAGCAGCATGTTACTTCCCTGCTTTATTTCATACCCCACAAAAGCTAATTATAAAGTGACCACTCACCTTTTATTTTAATCACACAGCTATGTTTCAGTGTTGGTTGACATTAATTAGATCTTGGTTTCTCAAAATGTATTTATCTAGGTCAAGAGAAAGAGGCAGAAGGAAACCTCACCCAAATTATGTAGTAGTGTTAAGTAAATTCAGTTTTTGAGCCAAAATTAAGTCATGTGTCTTCAAACTTTTCCTTGTAACTTTTCTTACAGCAATATAATTTTTGCATTCTGGCCAAAGAGAGCTGCTTTCTTTTGGCAGACAAAATCATGCTTCTGGAGAAACACTGACTTAGATCTATAGAATCTGTCCCCCTGTCAACAGAGCACTAACAAATAGAGTGTTATATATTTATTTTACCTAAGTTGATCTCTCTCAAAAGATTGATATGAAAAAATTTTCAATCTGTAATATATTTTTACCCAATATACATAATTATGTTCACTTTAAAATAATTTCCCCCAAAGAACTGGTTTTCAGCCAAGATTTAAGAAACTCCAAAATGTCTTAGCCAAAAGTTGTCAATTAAAAATTTAGCCACAGTGCTTAAGTGTAATGTTTTTAAAAACCAACTTTACACTACTGCACATTCTTGGATATTTGGAAACAAATATATTTTGACTCTTGAGAAAAAACACTTGGTGGCACACTAAAGAATGATTCCATAAGTTTACAAAACATAAAGGCAGGGTACAGTTATTCCAAAATGATGGAAAATATCTGTGTGCTTTTGCTTTGTTTGAAGAGAAATGGAGTGTTTCCACTCAAAAGTTTTCAGTGCCAGAATCACTAATAACTGTTAAAATGCCACCAAAATTAGTTTTAAACATTACTCAGAAAATAAACTATTTCTAACAATAACAATTTTAATTCCTTTTGTAAGGACTATATTGTAACTTTGATTAAGGGTCTTATATATCTCCTCAGGATTATCACAAACCACCTTCTAGATTTAAAACTAATTCTAACCCAGTCCAAATTAAAAACTTCACATTCAGAGGCAAGAAATACTATTGCACATTATACTCATATTTTAGGAATGTGTGTTCCCTCCCACCCAAACATGGATGCATTATCTATGAAGTGCATCTCATCTGAATTTATAAAAAAGTGCTTTTTCTCTTCCATGGAACAAGTACATTAATATTCTCAAAATACTTCATGAACCCTGAAGTGATTCTCTATGGAAGGAACTTCCTTTACAAAATGTATTTGGTTAGTCACCTGCATACCTAAATCTCCAAGTATCTGAACAAATTTCTTGTGTTCCTTTCCAATCCAAGATCTCATTGGATCACGTACTTGGTAAGGTGTTACGTGGGTGTGAACAATAATCCCTGTTTGTGCAAATTCTTTCAAGACTTCTGGATTAGTAATCCAAGTATTGCTTCCTCCAGAATGTCCACCATCCAGCCAGTACATTGTTCTTATGCTGTTGATAAAAGCATCTATGTTCTTGTCTTTCTTAGCTTCTTTCAATTCAAAAAGCAACTGATTCAAAACGACACAGCCTTTACTGAATCCAATTAAAGTAAAAGCAGCACCATTTAGTGATGGTGGATAAAAACTCATCGCAGACGCATCAAAGTTTTCACAGGGGCTCTCTTTTTCTCCCTGGCAACCATTAGTATGAGAAGAACTGGATCTACGATTAGATGCTTTGGAGTCCTTATTCAACTCTTTCACACTCTTCTTTGATAGCAAACTGTTCTGACTTAAGTTAAAAGCATTAACTAATAATGTATAAAGGTGCTTAAAAGCTCCAAAGTCAGTACTGTGTTCTGGAGCACCAAACATATTACTTTTCACAAAATTGTCATAGCAGCTGAATTTGTGCAAATGCATTCGGGAACACTTTATCACCCAAATATAACTATTGGGGAACCGGTGGGCTAAAGTGGTGGCAACATTTTCTAGACTCCAGTTTTCCCACTGATAATTTTCAGGATGATGAGTCATAATTTCATGATAATTCTGAAAGGTAAGAAAGATGAAAGAAGCATTAAATACACATTCATACAAAATTATTTCCACAAAATAGTTTCCTATTTTTATTGTGGAGGAAGTTGAGATGTTATGACCTATGGTTAATATACTATAAATCTTGCTGGTTACTTGCTGGTTATAAAGTTTTGAATAAATTACTTCTTTAGCTTGACCCTCAAATTCATCAAAAGACAAGGTTATAAGACATAATAGCTAAATAGCATAGTAGGAATTTAAATAATAAAACACTTCAGAAGGATTATCGATATTTTTAATAAATTTTATTTAGTATACATACAATCTATTATTTGTAACGTATTAACTAAAAATAAAAATTTGGTTTATTAAACAGTTTTTGACCAAAGAATTTTAAAATAGTTTTCTTTTAAAGCTGCCATCTTGAGCCCCTTTCTATTTGGGTTACTCTAGCAACCTGAATGCTGTTTGATTTCAATTTTTGTTTCACAACCAAAGCTGCAATGAACATTATAGAAAAATCTTTTTACACATCTATGGTTACATCCTTAAAAATAAGTTCCTAGATATGGAAAAACTAGGTTAAAGAATACTTATAATTTAAGGTCGTTTATATAGACTACAATACTATTTTCTAGAGAGTTCTGTTTAACTTTTATCTGTTAAATTTCATAGGCAAAGGAATGATATAGGTTTATTGAAAATCTGAAGTTGAAAGTTTGTTCATATATTTATTAGGCATCTGGATTTCTACTTGTGCAAGTACATATCTTTTGCCCTTTTAAAATTGGATCTTTTATTTATAAGCATTTTGTATGTATTAACATTCTGTTTAGGTTCTAGGACAAGCATTTAAATTTTGTTTTAATTTTCATTCATAGCATTTTTTTTTTAAAAAAAGGTAAAGTCATTCAAATTTATCCACCTGATCTATAAAATTTATTGGATACCTATTGGTTGGGTATGGATCAGAACAGACTAAACTGTCCACATGGAGCTCACATTCTAAGTACAGAGATACACAACAAACAACTCCATTAGTAAATAAAGCAACATTATCCAACAGAAATATAACACAGGATACACATAAAGTTTTCTAGTAGCTACATCTAAAAAGTTAACAGGTGAAAATTATTTTTAATAATACATTTTGAGCACGATATGTCCAAAAGACTACTGTTTCAACATGTTACCCATATAAAAAACTACTCAGAGATTATTACATTTATTTTTCTTACTAAGTCTTTGCAATCCAGTGTGTATTTTTTATACTTACAGCACATCTCAATTTGGATGCTAAATTTTCATTGGAAATACTTAACCCAAATTTTGATTTCATAAAATTTATAGTTGAAAAGGTAGATTCACATACCAAGTTGTTCAACATACTTAAAACTTTTCCAGGAACTGACTTGAGTATCAATTTTTATATTTAAAGTTAAATGCAATTAAAAATATATTTCCTTGATTAGACTAACAACATTTCAAGTGGTCAGTGCAATGGAGTGTAATAAATGAAGCAGTGAAAAAGGAGTACAGTACAAGGTTTTGGAGAGGGTGGGAGATGATTATTTAAAAAACAGGTGGTTTCCAATAAGGTGATAGTTGAGAAGGACCTGAAGGAAATGAGGGAGTGAATCATGATATTTTAGGCATAGGAAACTGCAAGTGAAAAGGCCCTGAAGTGGAAGCATGCTCGGCATAAACAAGAGGCAAGAGGAGCGCCACTGGAGTGAACAAGAAGCAAAAGTCATCACCAAGAAAGATTTCTGGGGAGGAGGGATGTGCTGATCATGCTTGTAAGACACTGTGAAGACTTTGGCTTTTGCTCTGATAGGGTTTGGAGCAGAGGGCTGATATAATCTATATTTTGAAAGGACTGCTATGTGTGAAAGGGCAACAGTTGAAGCAGAAGCTACTGATGTATAATCCTGATGAGAGAAGATGGCTTGAAGCAGAGTAGTAGTAGAACTGAAATTGGTAAAAAGTGGTTAGATTCTGAATATATGTTAAAGGGAGAGTCAACAGCACTTGCTGACAGATGGATAGAGGGTATGAGGGAAAGAGAATTAGAGTTGTAATTTTTTCTTATTTCTATCAGTCATATACCACACACACACACACACATATATATATATATTATATATATGTTTCAAATACACCTCCCTTTTGATTTAATAATTCTGCTCAGTGATTCTACTAGAAATTTATCTGTGATATACTTGAATACACATGTAAATAAATATGTATATTTATTTCTGCTTCAAAAGAATGAGACAGCCCCGAGTACTCATATGGGTTGTAAAATGGCTTAAAAAAAACCCCGTATGACAATGCTACCATTTGTTTTTAAAAAAAGTTTGCATTGGCATAGAATATCTCTGGAAGGACATATAAATCAGTAACAGTGACAGCCTTGGGGAAAGAAAATGGGAGACTAGAGAGAACGGGATGGAAGGGGACTGACTTTTCAACATACAACCTTAAATGGACTAAATTTTTAGCAGAATACACATTTTTTTCTATTAAAAAATTAAAAGTAATACTACAAAAACTTAGTCTATATGTAAAGATATAAGAAAGAAAAATCCTCCATAAAATCACCAATTAAAAATAATCATGATTGCCATGGCTGGCTTGGCTCAGTTGGGTGGAGCATCATCCTGTACACCAAAAGGTGGCAGGTTCGAAATCTGGTCAGGGCACATATGCAGGCTGCCAGTTCAATTACCAGTCGGGGGGCATGTGGGAGGCAACCAATCAATGTTTCTCTCTCACATCATGTTTCTCTCTCTCTTCTTTCCTCTAAAATTAAAAAAAATATTATTATTAAATTTTGGTGTCTAGCATTCCAGTTTTATTTAGTATACATACACATATACATGTATGTATATAAGAGCATTCTTTGCTTCTCCTGCAGGAAGCTTATATATACAGTTTTTTGTTTTTTTAAAAAAATATATCTTTATTGATTTCAGAGAGAGGAAAGGAGAGGGAGAGAGACAGAAACATCAATGATGAGAGAGGCACTGATCAAGCCCGCAACCCGGGCATGTGCCCTGACTGGGAATCGAACCCTGATCGCCTGGATCCCAGGTCGACGCTCAACCACTGAGCCATGCCTGGCCGGCATATGCAGTTTTCACTTAAAAATATAGTATAGGCATGATCCTGTATCAATAATTATAGATTTGCATGATAATTTTTAGACTTCCCATCAGTAAGATTAATACCAACTTACATTGCCACTGAAGTATACAAGAGTGCTTATTTTCCGACATCCTGGCCCACACTGGCTATTAGCATTAATTAAAAAAAAAAATCTTCCCTACTATGATAAAGGGATGTCTACTTTTGATTTAATTTGCATGTTCTGATTCCTAATCAGGTTGAGAATTTGTCTATGTTTATTGGCAATTTTCATTTTTTTCTTTTGTTCTCTTTTCATGTCCTTTGATAATTTGCCCAATAGGATGCTCAAAGTTCTTCATTAACACTTTAATGTTTGTGTCTCATTAACATTAATAGTTTGTCGTATGTTAAAAGTCTATCATTTAATTTTTATGGATTATGCTACTGCCTTCTGCACATCAGATTTGTGATAAAAGCATGGTAAAATTACCATAGGAGCTTATATCGAAAAGGGTACATCTAAATTATTTTTATAGCTAAAAAAACTGAGGTTCTAGATACTATAGTTATTTATATAGTTATTTAATGAGTCAAAATCAACTCAAGATTTTATGATTCTCCATTTAGTCTTTACTACATGGGAGGTGGTAAATCTAAAAATTTGGTATTTTCTTTTATTTCTCCCATGATCAGAGAGGAAAATACTTATACTAAGGAACTGTGTGTACTAAAATGTAAAAATGGGATTCTTACTGTTGTGTCAAAGACAAGATCTGAAAACAATGGATAAGCACTCCCATATTAGACAAAAGACACCAGGCATTCTCATAGGATTTGCCAATCAGTAGCCAAAACTGGTTCTGCAACCCAGATAATGACTATTGCAATCTACAGAAAAGACTAAAGACTACAGAATGTACTTATTCTCCCTGTAGGGGTGAAAGGTAGGGGGCAAGGTTCTCCTCATCCCAAGGTGAGACAGGTGGCAAGAGAATCTATCAGAGAGATTAAGGGGTGCTTACTGCACAGGCAGATGCTTGCTAACCTGCAAAACTTATAGGCCCACCTCACAATGCCACTGAAATTAAGGTACAAAGGATTTTTAGGAAAACTTGACATGTGTCTCCAAGAATTTGCAGACATTCATGATAAAGATTTAAGCTAGATGGACTGGTCCTACAGCACAGTGAGAACTAATTAGGTACAAGCTGTATTTTCATAAAAAATGGGGCAAGGGGGCATCTTTACTGAGCATAAAGTATATATCCTAAGTAAACAAGATAGAAGGACCATAACAGGAATCAGCCTAAGAAGGATGCTTGACAGAGTCTCAGGGGTACATGACCAGGTGTGAAATAATATATATACAGAGTGGCACAAAAGTTGGTTTACAGTTGTATGTGGAACTGAGAGTTTATTTTTGTTGCTGTTAATCCTCACCTGAGGATATTTTTTTCCATTGCTTTTCAGAAAGAGTGGGAGAGGGGGGAGGAGTAAGAGGGGAAGAAAGAGAGAGAGAGAGGAATATCGATGTAGGAGAGACACACCGATTGGTTGCCTTCTCCATGCACACCCCCACCAGGAGTGGGGAGTGAAGCCACAACCCAGGTACATGCTCTTGATGGGAATCAAACCTGAGACCTTTTGGTGCATGAGCTGAAACTAACCACTGGACCACACCAGCGAGGGCCAGAGTTTATTCTTGTATTACTATTGTATTATTTTCCATACAAACAACTGTAAACCTACTTTTGCTCAAACAATGAATCTGTGTTAAGATGAGGCAAAGCTTCCACTGATACCCTAGAAAGTTGTTTGGTCCCATTCTGTTCAATACTTATCCAAATTATGAATAAAGATACAGATACAAACCAAAATAATGGTTCTAAAAGGACCAATATCCCGGCCGGGCGTGGCTCAGCCGTTGAACGTTCACCTAGGATCCAGGCGATTGGGGTTTGACTCCCCGTGAGGGCACATGCCCTGGTTGTGGGCTCAATTCNGGCGTGGCTCAGCCGTTGAACGTTCACCTAGGATCCAGGCGATTGGGGTTCGACTCCCCGTGAGGGCACATGCCCTGGTTGTGGGCTCAATTAATGACTCATCATTGATGTTTCTCTCTCTCTCTCTCCCCCTCTCCTTTCCTCTCTCTGAAATCAATAAAGACATATTTAAAAATAAATAAATAAAATGTAAATAAATAAAAGGACCAATACACTAAAAAGATGAGATGTATGTAACAGAGTAAATTTCATATGGATAAACATTAAGCTCAAAAGAATCAAGTACAAAGGTACGGATAAGGAAATCTGAGCCTAAAAGTATTTCATATAATCACTTCATGCATTGTTCAAAGCAACTTACGTACATTGATTCATTCAACAAGTTATCTATTGAACACCTACTACATGCCAGTCACTAAACATCATAGACGTATCAGTGAAGAAAACAGAGTTAAAGGTTACACTGTAGTGGTGGAAGACAAAAACCAAAATGAATAACTAATATGCTTGATTATTAAACAGGATGGTCAGAAAAGGCTGCACTGTAAAGGCAACTTTTGAGCAAAGATCTGAAACAGATGAGGTAATGAATCCTGCATTTACTTGCATGAATGCTGTTCCTCTAGGCAGTTATCTTCAAAGCTTTTGAGGTGAAGTGTGCCTACCATGAGCAATCTGAAGAAGGCTGGTGGGGCTGGAGCAGAGTAAAAGAGAAAAACGAGATAGAAAAGCAACAAGGTGGAAAAAGGTGAAGATAGTGAAGGGCCTTGCAGGCCATCAAGAGGTCTCTGGCTTTTACTCTGAGTGATAATGGGGAAAAACTGGAGCTTTGAGCAGAGAGGTATGTCATGATTTGACTTGTATTTTTAAATGATCACTTTTAGATACATTAAGAATGTGAAGCCACTTTGTTGATGGATTAAGATATCTGGTGTGAAAGAGAGGACTAAAGGATAACTTCAAGATATCTAACTTGAGCAACTAAAAAGGAGGTTCCATTAACTGTGATGAGGAAGGCTGTAGGAAGAACAAGTTTAGGGGTAAAGATTTTAGGTTTGCGGTATCTATTTAATATTCAAAATGAAATATTGCGCATGCAATTGGTAAGTCTAAAGTTTGCGGTATACGTCCAGGTTATATACACAAACGTTGAAGGTTGTCAGAGTATAGGTAGTCTGTAAAACCACAGGTCTGGAAGGGTTCACTAAGGGGGTAAAGGTACACAGAGAAAAAGCCCAAGAACTGAATACAAGGGTACCTCCATAATTAAACAGGTCATCAGAAAGATGAGAAGAAACTGTAATTCACTGGGTATTTACATATTTAATCCTCACTGATATCCTATAAATTATTATTCCTATTTTATAGTTAGGTAACTGCAATTTGGTCAAAGATTTAATAGGTAAAAAGTGCAGAGTCAGGGTTCAAACCTAGGCAATCTGGCCTAAAGCCTTTTGGTGCATTATCCTCTATTTCTTCTCTAAAAGACCTGGATTTTTAGAGCGCTTCATACTCTGCATAAACCAACAGTATATCACTGTCCACAAATCTAATGGAATCTCAGGCTACATAAAGAATGGATGATATCAAAACAAAAGGAGGTATTACTCTAACTGTATTTTAGCATTTCTTAGACCTCACCTGAAGACTTGTACTATATTCTGGCAGGCACATTTTAAAAACACTGAGTAGGTGTTCAATAAAGGTTAGTTATCATACTATCATCATCATCTTTATAGATGCACACAATAGCTGGTCCACAATCTGGAAGTCTGTCAGCAATGTCATGCTGTTTTTGTAAACTGAGCAAAAGGGCACTGATTGAATAAATTAAGCTTCTTAAGTCTCAACATTAGTTTTTATCAGTGTTTATTAGCAGTCTACTAGATCAGTGAATTATTTTGAGGACAAGAGAAAAAAACTACAGATATCTTAATCACCATTTGACTCAGGGCACAGAGTTTGTAAGTATATCATTTTATAGCATCAATTTCAAAAACAATAAATTAAGTTTCATGGTGTAAGAAACATCTAGACATTCTAGCTTTACCTGTCTACACCAACAGTATCCAGTAGACGTCTCTGTGATGATGGAAATATTCTTCCGTACCTATCTGCCCTACTCGTTACAGCACGCACGGAGCTTGGCTGCAACTGAGCACCTGAAATGCAGGTAGTGACTGAGGAAACGGATTTCTAATTCTATTTTAATTAACTTAAATTGCCACATACAGCTAACGGCTACCGTATGAAACAACACGGCTCTAGATTAAGATCTAGATCAACACCCAGCTTTCCAGGAAAACATATTCAAGGTTATTTGCCCTGCAGCTATAAAATTAATAATATAGATAAAATCACACAAAAAGCCAAAAATACAGAATTTAGGTATCAAAATGTTGACAGGCATGGCAATTACTGTCCCTTTTCTCCACCCACCCTCTCTTTCTTAGGGTTACTGTCATTTGTGGGTTTCTGTCTTTGTTTTACTTGTTTGCTTTTTAATAACTGCCAGTGGAGCCCTAGGCGCTTAAGGTAATTTAAAAGCCTTCTCTCTGTCTCTGTCTCTGTCTCTCTCCCCCCTCTGAGAAACCAAGTCAGAGAATGAATGTATATCATGTGTCATTCCTCCTATGCTTCAAATTCTGCTCCCCTGAAGCCTGGACTGACAGCTGGCGCTTCGGAGGTCGCAGCTCTCCAAGGACACCTTCCCTCTGGGGCTACAAGAGGAGGGGATGAGGGGCGCGGACGCAGCGGCTGCGGCTCCCGCGGAGTAACGGGAGAGCCAGCGCGAGCGTGGGTGCGGCTGTGCCGCGGCGCGGCGAGAACCCAGGGAATTCGCACACACGCAGGGAAGGAACCGGTGCCCAGGCAGGCCCCAGGTTACCTGCACGTCCCCGGGGAAATAGACAACGTGATGCTGGGGCGGCGGCGGCAGCTCCTCCTTCGCCAGGTCCCCAGAGAGATCCCGCCGCTCCGGTTCCCCCGCCGACGCCAGCAGGAGCACCTCGTTGCTGCGCTGCGGGTCGACTCCCGGCACCGCGGACAGACGCAGGCACTGGAGTCGGCGCCCCTCGGCCGTGGGGGAGCACTGCGCAGAGCCGCCGCCGCCCAAGTTCATGGTTCCGGCCGGAGAGCGTGAGGCGGCGATTCCGAGTCCGAGCTGCGGCAGCAGGAGCAGCAGCGGCGGCGACCGCAGGAGCCCGAACCCCCACATGAGTCGCCGCCGCCGGAACGGATGGCGGGAGGGTGGGGGAGGAGCAGTGTGAGGCCCTGAGGGCGGGACTTCGACGAGCAGCCCAACGGTCGGCCCGAGCCGCCCGGGCGGGAGTCGGCGCGCGGGCGACGACAGCGTCACAGGCAGACGTCAGCGCGCAGCGTGCGTAAGGAAGGAGGGGTGTGCGTGAAATCCAACTCCGGTTCCCGGAGGGGGACGATGGAAGGGGCGTGTCCTGAAGAAGGACATTTGTGATTGGCGGTTTCTGCCACAGCCGGGAAGTTCTAAAGGAAGTCTGGGGAAAAGCGGAAGGACTGCGAAGAAAGTAAAAACCAAAGACCCTGCTAGAAGCCGGGCACTTGTGGCGCATGCGCAGCCGCAGGAGCGGCCTGAAGGTCGCTGTCCAGTGACGTGGCACAGGGTTTTGTGCCCGTTTCGGTCGGCTCACCTTTCAGGTGAGGGTTCCCTAGTCCTTTTAGCCTTTAAATGGACACAGCCCCAGAGATATAAGTGGGATAATTATGCCCTGTAGACAAATCTGTGGAAAGTCTTCTACGTGCCCCGGGTAAAGGGAATCTTCCTCCTTTCATACCCTGGGATTTTCTTTGTAGCTATACCAAGATTTCTAGGTTTGTAAGAATTTATGATTAGATATGAAGTCTAATGCATCTCTTAGTGGTAGCAGGAAACAGGGCACGTAGATTGGGACAGAAAAAATGGGGGCAAGACATGACTTATTATACATTTGCTGCTGTTTGCTATTTTAGGGTTTTCAAAAACCAGTTTGAACCGTGGAAAAATCATAGGTGTCCAACAACTATTTGTGGCCAGTTGTGTAGGAAGAAGATTTGGTCAAGTGTATGCTAAAGACAAAGAAGGGAGAGGGGAAGACCCAGGATTCTGAACTGAAGTGCTTATGAGGCAAGGCACTGGGAAGAACCTTGTGAGAGAGATTAGTGAGAATTATAAAAATTAAGTCCAACATTTATTGAGGCCTTACTGTAGGCCAGGAATCAAACTAAGCACTCCATATTATTAACTGTCCTGAATCTATATATGTGTGTGTGTTTAAACACACATACTGCTTTCTTTGCTCCACACGTTAAATATTAACAATTGCTTTGAAGTAAGAACACAGATGAGCAAATGATAAAATATATATATTTATATATACTTAGTGACATTATAGAGGTGTAATATGCCATCCTACTGTGGTCTAAATTATTGAATTCCATTTGACATCGTAAGAATGTAACCAATCTAAAATTATTTAATTGTTATTACTAAGTAGATCTGTTTTCTAAAAATAACTGGTTGAAAGAAGCAGAGGCTAATTATATGATAATGAATATATAACCATATTCAGGCAACCAGCCTTCACTGTATTTTGCAAATCACATACATGTTGTTACTTTCTCTCATGAGGTAGAGAATTACTGAAATCCAAAAGCCGAAACATGTACATGTTCTTCAAATGCAGCTTTTGATTTTTGTAGTATTGTTTTTCATTTTAGTCTCATATAATTAATTTTAAGTGACTCTATCACTATTGAATCAGATGGGGAGTTCTTGTGTTTTAGAAAGAAAATTAATTGTAGTAAAGATAAATACTGTGAAGTTGTCTCAGTATCTCTAATAATATTGAGGTCTGTGAGAAATGCATTTAAAGATTTAATGGTTTTTAAATTTTTATTGATTTCAGAGAGAGGAAGGGAGAGGAGAGAGAGATAGAACCATCAATGATGAGAAAAAAGCATCAGTGATGATGGTTGCCTCCTGCATACCCCCCACTGGGGATGGAGCCCGGGGAATCTAACCATGACCTCCTGTGTCATAGGTCAACACTCAAGCACCGAGCCACACCAGGGCCAGGCAGATTTAAAGGGCAGAGTAAAGAAACAGACTGAAGTAAGCACAGGTTTTTCCCCCACAGGCAAGGATTTACACAACCCTGTAGGAGCCACTTCCAGAGAAATTAACAGCTCTAAATTCATCAGTTGATTTATGGTAAGTCATAGAAATTGTAATTCCTTCTCATAGGTCCTGTTGATACTACCGTAATATTTGTTATTCTCTCTCCATCTACTCTTCCTTTTTCTAGGAAGACCAATTTTGTAAATCACTACTTTTCTAATAACGATAGGCGCAGACAGCGCAGCACTTTCCCCCTTTATTCTCTCTTACAACTGGACTGCCCTACCCTGCAGAGGTTTTACATATACAAAGTTACTGTAATCAGTTGAGTTTACCTTTCCTTTCTAACAGATAGAGATCTCCACTGGGATTTTATTAAGCTTATAGTGCCTAAAAGGCTACAGCTCATCTCTGGACTCGACAATTCTCAAGGGATCCTGTGGGGGCTCTCAGAACTCTTGTTAGACTAACTATAATAAATAGAAAAAGTTGCAAAATTAGAGAGTCTGAGAAAAACTAGCATTGGAAAGGACAACATGAAAAAGATCACAGACTTCAGTATCTAGAGGCTAGGTCTATGTCATATATAGTAAATTGGGCCATATGTAATCAATAGGAGGTGGTAAAACTGTAGCAAACAACAGGAACATGTCATATTTGAAGGAGGCAGTCATATTTGCTATAAGCCAATTATAAAATTAATGCAAAATTTTGTCAAATTTTCAAGGTAAATCAAATACACAGATATTTATGTGTCATTTTCCAAATATTGACAACTAATTAAATTTGCTTTTAAAATATTATATCAAATTAAATGCATGCATAGGCCAAATTTGGCATATGGGCCACAAATGCACATTTTACCTTTTTCTACTAAAAGGTAAAGTGAATGGATACAAGAGGGAAGAAAATGAGGAAAAAAGACAGAAAACTTTAAATGTGGGTCTCTACCAGAGATTAAATGGGAAAGGAATGGGGTGGGGGGGATTTTAAGATGTTTTTTCATGGGATTTGAATTGGACCCCATTTTATATCCTTTGAGAGATTCCAATAAATATTTTAATTCTTTTCAATTTTTCTTGATTTGGGGTAGGTGTCTTTTTCTGTATTATTAAATCTCTGTATTAAAACTGGACATTGAGAAGAGGGGGCTTCATATTAGGTTTGCAACTGTAGTATATAATTTTGCCTCCAAAATACCTGATGAAATAAGACTAGAGAGTAAAGGCATTTGGGGATTTGAAAGCTTATTTTTTAACTGCTCTCACTAGCTAAGTGACACCTTTTGCACTATACTTTTAGCATATGATTTAAACATGCTTCAATAAAGTTCATGATTCACCAAAATACAAATCACTATAAGCCAAGTCCTTATGGATTATTTTTAACACTTAATGAATCCTCAAATGCAATGATATTGGTGAATGTAGTTCTATACATTGTACTTTACCTACTATTAAGGTGAAGGAAAAATTGATTAAAATCTTGATAAATGCTCAAAAAAATACTAGGAAGCCAAATCCAGCAACATACAAAAGTAATTATATACCATGGCAAGTGGAATTTATCCCAGGAAGGCAAGGTTGGTTTCACTCTGAAGATCAATTACCATTATACACCATATCAGTAGAATAAAAAGCAAAACATGGCATGGTAATCTTAACAGAGGAAAGGCATTTGACAAAATCCAACACCCTTTCATGATAAAGGGGGGAAAAATCAACAAATTGGGAATAGACGGGACCTCCTCAACCTAATAAAAGGCATCTTTAAAAAAATCACAGCTAACATCATACTTAATGGTGAAAAACTGAATGTCTGTCTCCCAAGAACAGGGACAAGATAAAGATGTCTGTTCCTGCTACTGCCAGTCAACATTGTACTGGAGGGTCTAATCAGAGCAATTAGGCAAGAAAAAGAAATAAAAGACATCCAGATTGGAAAGGAAGATTAAACATGCAGATAACATGATCTTGTATATAAAAAATCTGAAGGAATCCACTAAAAACTATTAGAAATAATAAATGAGTTCAGCAAGGTTACAGATTAATATGCAACAATCAATTGTACTTGTATACACTAGCAATGAACAGTTTAAAACAATTCTGTTTAAAATAGCATCAAAAAATAAAATACTTATGAATAAATTTAATGAGAGAAGTGAAGAACTTGTATACTGAAAGCTACAAACATTGCTGAATGAAATTAAATAAATTTCTAAATAAATGGAAGGGCATCCCATGTCTGTGGATCAGAAGACTTAATACTGTTAAGATGGCAGTTCTCTCCAAATTGATCTACTGACTCAATGCAATCCCTATAGCAATTCCAGCTGCCTTTTTTTTTTTTTTGCATAAATGTACAAGCTGATCCTAAAATGTGTAATGTGTATGGAAATCCAAGGGACACAGAATAGCCAAAACATCTTGAAAAAAGATGATCAAAATCGGAGGACTCACAATTCCCCCATTTCAAAACTTACTACAAAGCTATAGTAACCAAGACAGTGTTATACTGGCATAAGGGTGAATGTATAGACCAATGGAGTATAATTGAGAGTCCATAAATAAACCTGAAATTTATGGTCATTTGATTTTCAACAAGGGTGCCAAGATAATTTAATGGAAAAAGAAGTCTTCAACCAGTAGTTCTGAGGCAACTGGATAGCCACATATAAAAGAATGAAGTTAGACCCCTTCCTCATACCATACATAAAAACTAACTTAAAAATGGATCATAGACCTAAGTGTATGAGCTAAAACTATAAAACTTTTAGAACAAAAAATAGGAGTAAATCTTCATGACCATGCATTAACCAAAGCTTTTTATACTATATGTATCAAAACCACAAGAGTCAAAAGAAAAAATAGACAAATTGGGCTTCATTTAAGTAAAAAACATCTGGTAGATCAAAGGACTTGAAAGTGAACAGCAACTCATAGAATGGGAGAAAATACTTGGAAATCACATATCTGATAAGGGACTTGCATCCAAAATTTATAGATATTACCATCCACTAGTAAAAGGACAAATATCCCAATTTTTAAAAAGGGCAAAGGATCTGAATAGATATATTACAGAAGATATGCAAGTGGACAATAGGGACATGAAAGATATTCAACATCATTAGCCACTAGAGAAATGCAGGTTAAAACCACAAATGATACCATTTTA